GGGCGGGCTGGCAGCGCACCTCGCTACGGGCGAGCTGCGCAGCTGTTGCGGGCAGGGAGCTACCGGGGGTCTGGCTTTTTAAGTGCAAGGTTGTTGTCCTCTTTCAGAACACTCAGCCGTTGGAAGCTTGATTGGTTTAATTTCTCGGGGAGTTTGGGGGTGGGTTTTGTTTGTTTGTTTTTTTTGTTTTTTTTTTTTTTCTTGTCTGCCTTTTTTTCGTTTTAGGATTCTGGAGATAGTGTTTCTGAACTCAGGGAATGGAGACCAGTCATCTACAGAAAGTGCACAGACACTCTCTGGTTGCTCCTCTTCTTTCTTTTCTGGGCTGGTTTGGTAAGCATGCTTTTTTTTTCTGGAAGAAAAGTTCTGCCTATATGCTTTAGATGCCATGTATACATAGGGCTGGGTTATTTAGAGTTCACTTTTTTTGTAAATTACTCCAGGATCTGACTGGGCTCTTATTTCTACTTACATCATTCACTGTAGTCTTGTCACCTTGCAACACGTCTGTCTGATGTTATATCAAGTCACTATCTGTCCTGTGCTTAGAACAGCATGTGAGACTTTGGGAACAGGCTTTGTCTTTCTTAAGTATGAATGTTTTTTCATGATCTATGTCTGAGGCTACTCAGGATTCTAGTGAATATACCATTAATCAGTTTCCAATTCCAAATAACTCTTTTAATGGAAGCTAATGCAGAAGAATACTTACACATTTTGAATACTGCATAAGAGGAAGCCAAACTTTGCAAACAGGACAGGTTTTTTTACATGCTGCCTTCTGCCTAGTGCTTTGATCAGTGGAGGGAATGCTGAAAATTAAACCCATCAAATGGTGAGAACTTAGGATTTTTGTTTGTTTTCTCTCATTGTTTTTATTGCTCAGTTTCTGTGAAATAGCTTATTGCATATATGTATTGGTTTTCTTTTGTTTGATCTTAAGAGATTAAAAAATTTTTGATGACACTGATTTTTTTTCCACATAGTAGAAAAAAATTGAAACCACATTAATAACTCTGTGGAAATGCATATCACTGGCATGTATAGACACACCCTGCCAGCAGTCATACAGCAATCTATTACTTAACAATAGTTATGGCTTGTATTCAGCATTCTGCACTTCAAAAAAAAAAAAAATCACACGTACACAGTATTTGCCATACGTCCATCTTTGGAAGGAATGCCAAAATTTTTCTGAAAGCATGTTTCAGGTTACAATGCCAGCTGACTTCTCCTTTTTCTTCTGAGAACAATTTAATTATTAACAAATACTTGCTATGTAAATAAACTGGATCTGAAAATATTTTGTTATTGTAACAAATATCACCTCCACAAGTAGTATGTCAGCTTTAATTGTGGAGTCTCTACAAAAATCTCCATATTGAGGTGGCATTAACACACAGTCATAACTGAAAAAAAAGATATTTAACTAGTTAGTCTTCAGACATATAAGCAAAAATGTGACTACACTGGAGACTAAGGAAGCACATACACGTTTGTTTATGAGGCTCAGTTTTTACCCAGGTCCCATCTTTAGTGACAGGTATTAAAAGTAGAATAACAAAGGCTCTAAACCTTAAGAAAGCAAGCAGTTGTGCTGGATCTGATATGTGTAGTCTGTCTCCGGCATAGCTGATATTCAACAATATCCATGCAAAGTAGTAGTGGTTAACGTGGGACTGAGAAGTCTTGCTGCTGCCAGCAGTTGGCGCGTAGCATGGAACTTAGTGTTATTGTCCTTGATGTGTGTGAAATGCGGTTTACACCCCATGGGACTGAGAAGATGATTGTATCGCTGAGTTCTTCAGTAACTGGAGTACTGTAAATAAACCTTTGGGTAAAGTAGTGCTTAGGACTTCACCAGCTTCCCGTAAGAAAGACTACTACTTCTTAACACTTGGAAAGGTTCTTTTCAAGGGGCATTTTGGCCCTCATGGGGTACATAAGCAGGATTTAAGCTGCATTCCTAGGCAAGGTGTCTTACATTGACTGAGGGTTGCTGCTAGTTGGCCAACGGAGGTGCTCAGCTGCCCCTGGGGTTTACAGGGAGCTGATCTACCAGGGCTTTGATCCAACAGCAGAGCATCTAAAAGATCCGGGCAGTGTCACCTAAGTCCACAGTGTGGCGCTCTCCAGGTTTTTCACATGTGTTAAAGATTGCATCTTCCTGAAATTTCAGGTAACCTGCATTTTAATTACACTTTATGTGTTTAGAATACACCTCTGATTAAATTCACGAGCAGCTGCAAGGGCTCAACATTTCTGGAGATAATATTGCCCAGGTGTGTTTTGAAGGGCACCTGGAAAAAGGAGCAGCAGTGAGCACGTGTGAAAAATTACTATTTGGATGACCTTGCGTAGTGACACACATGAACTTTGGTAGAGGCAGTGTTTAGCACCTTACTACTGCTTTCCTATTATTTTAATCAGGACCCCCATCTTTCTTCTCCTGTGATACTCTGCTTAGTTTATATACTTTCAACAATAGATGAAGGAAAGCTCTAAGGAGGCAATAGTGCTGAACTTGTCCATATGACTTGCTCCGGCCTTGTGCAGAGGGGTGAATTTTAGATTTAACTTGCATCCACAAGACAAAAATGCATGGGTTAAAAGGAGTATTTATTGAATGGGAAGGAAAAGCGCTTGTAGCATGATTTCACATTAAAAAATATTTTAACAGATGTTTATAACTGGCTATGCTGTGATGGCTGGTGCCGCAGAAAGGCTTGTGCTTGGATATGACAGCTTCGGGAACATATGTGGTAGGAAGAACACTCCTGTAAAAGGGGCACCCCTTTCTGGACAGGACATGACTAATAAAAAGTAAGTACATCAGATAATGTCTAAATAAATCAAATGTTTGAGAACTTAATAAGGTGTACATCTTCTAGTTGTCAATCATATACATATGTGTATATACACATGCTTATACTGAAAGGCAAAACAAAGTGTGAGAATGGTGCATGAAACTAAAAAGTTAAGATAGAATTTGAAAATGTGCTATGTTGTTATGCTTTATGCTGGCTTCTTCTTAAACAGGACCTTAAATAGGACTTCAGCCAAGCCAGCAGTCATTCTATTTGGCAAGTCCTTGTGGAAGTTGCATGTTGAAGTTCCCAGTCAATCTATCGACTCCCCTGAACTAGTCCTTGTAGAATGGCACCCACCTTGGCAGCTTCTGATCCCATTTAAGAACATAAAATGAAGCATAAAAATGTAGCATATTCTCAAATTGCTTCTTAAGTTCTGACTTCAAACTCCATTTTTTTCCATTATATGTGGACAAAAGTTTCATTTGCTCTGTAGCGCTTTAAAAAGATGGAAAGAAGGCTCAGAATTTAAACCAATAAAAACCAGAAAGCTTGTTTTTTGAAAAGAGGATCTTTTTTTCTTTCTAGGTATGTGTTCTTTCTGAATTCATGCAGCCTGGAAATGCAAAGCCTCAAAATCAGTTCACTTTCCTTGTGCGTGTCTAGTTGTCCACAAGAGCAACTCAACTCTTTGGAAGACCTCCAGAGTTTTGCAAGGAATAATGGTGTGCAACAGGGAATATGAGTATCTTAGCGTATCTGTAGAACAGTTGAGCAGCTTTCACTTTGTTATTCTTACGTTTGCTACGCTAGGGAGTCATTTCTTACCATTAATTTCCTGAGCAGTCCATGGCAACAGAAAAGAAAATGTCTTGTTTCTGCTTTATTTCAAAGCCATAGTTTCTAGAAATGTTACAGCTCTCTTATGCCAATTCAAAAGTTGTTGATTAATTCCTGCACAATGCTGAGATTATGCAGCAGAAAACTGGCTGCTGCGAATGAACTAGCATAGTTTGGTGGGGGTGCCAGTAGGTGAACAGAGCTCATATGCTATTTGAGAAACTTGTCCAATTGGTTCTTTTAGATTTAATTAAAACTATGGTGGAATTATTAATCCTGGAGATACACAGGTGGTTTTATCCCTTTAGATATCAGATCCCGAAGTTTGCAATTCCACCTAGAAATTTTTTATTTATTCTGCTGATGAAGATGAATATGATGTCAGAAGTAGCTATTGTGCAAAAGAGGCAGCTCCAGTTCATCCATGTCCAACGTGTAAATAAAATAACCTGTAGCCTAACGCTCATTCCACAGAGTATGTGTCAACTGCAGACTATATGAATACTAGTGGCTGTTTTCATTGGAGGTCAGATTTCCATTCTTTTTTGTTTCGTTTGGCAAGAATTGCTATTTAAATTGACAACATTTGTTTTAATTTCATTTTGGGGTAGTTTGCCATCATTTAGTATGTACAGAAAGCTGTAAACACCTGTGATATTATACAAGTATTTTCAGTGTAACTGAATATAATTGCATGAAATTCCATCTACATGCTAAAACTGCTTGCATGTTTATCTCGAGGGAGAGGGCAGTATTGCATTTCGAATGGCTTGAATGTATCCAGCCTTTCTTTCCCAGAAGCATTATATAATGGAGCAGAGTATTATTAGCAGAGTACCTGGTAATATTTAGCCTAGAGCCCAGAAAATATTAAGTTTCTGGATAGATATATATTCTGTTCTAAATCATGAGGGGCCTAGTTCTGTTGTAGCTTCTGTCATTTCAGGTTTTTCCTGCTGTCTTAATGAGTAAGTTTAGAGCTGAAGTTTTGCACTGTGGAACAAATAGTGTGCCTGCCCTCCAGGAAGATCAGTAAATGGTAATTATAGTTAAGTGTAGAAGGCAAAAGATCAGAAGATTCCACAGAGGTTGCTTTAGGTTTACCCAATTAACTAATTTGTTATTTACATTCCCACTGGAAGATCAGGGATGAATATGGCCTGCTAAGGGATCAAAGCAGAAGTGCAAACAAAACTTAACTGATACTAACTAATATCAAGTTACCGTTTTCTTTTTTTCTTCTTAGGTTCTTGTCTTTGCATTTACAACCTGAACATTTCCAGTTACACGCTAAATCCAAAGGCAGCTGAGCTGTGTCCCACGCTGCCAGTTCCACCAAGGTAAGAACTACTGGGTACTTTACAACACCCTTGAGTCCAAACAGCTTCTTAAGGATTGTTACTTCCTTACATTTTGTATTTGACTTGATGCTTTACAGTCAGAATGGTTTTGCTTTGTTTGTTTATTTTTGTACGTGTATCCTTATGAGTTCTCGTGTGTGCCTGTGAACATGCCAGTGTCCTGTCCCACAGGAAGAACAAGGACTGCATTCCCTCCATTCCTCTACCCTTTAGCGATTTTTTCCTCTCCAAATCAGGAGAAAAGCACTCCATAAGAGGAGTGACTTCTCTCCTGCACAGACTTTTGCGCTCTCCCTCAATGCCAAGGAAGAGGAGGTGTGGTCTTGGGCCTTGCTTATTATCCTGAACCCAGAAATTTCCATCAGAATTGTTTCATAGCCAGCTGGCTTGAAGCACAGGTCCGGGGGTGGCACTGTCTTTAACATTTGGCATTTGTGAGTCAAAATCCTTAAACCCATGATTTTAAATTCCACTGCATCATGAAAATACAGCAAAGAATTGGAATCTCCATACTTACAGAGCTAAGTCATCTGCTCTGAACAAGAGAAAATAGAGGAAAAAAGCAAATGGAAGAGAGCAGGAGACACATCAAAACACTACATACGGTGGATCAAAGGCAGGCATGTAAATTGATTTAGAAATATGGCATGTTTTACTTACTACTTTGACTTTTTAGGCTTTTTTCTGCTTGGCAAGGAACTCAGCAAAGTTATTCAGCTTGCACAGTAATACTTCATAGCAGAAGCAAAGCTAGTCAGGGAAGTTTTTAACTGTTGGTGAACAAACCTCTCCTTTTTAGGTATGAATATGTCTTTGACAGTATTGCCAAAGTGGGACAATAAATATATTCAAGAAGCTTGGCTGGGAGTGCCAAATAATTTCGTATGTAAATATTTGGTGGTGTTAATTGTACCTTACAGACATTGTTTTGATGTGGCTTTTAGAATGCTTGAATAGCATAAAAACAATGCAAAGTGTTTGTGGTCTGGAATTATCTACAACAACATAGCTTACAGCTATGTTAATGTGAGTTTAGGTTTTACATAAACACATGGGAGCAAAGCAGGTGAAGCCAGACTATAGTGGGCATAGGAGCTACATGCTGATGGTGATTGAGATAGTAGTTCATTTTTTTCCCCCAGGTTGATCTTGAATGGATGTTCTGGTACAGCGATACAGGCACGATGCTGCTAGGAGTTTTATTTTGCAGATGAAACGTAAAACTACCATTTGTAATAGACCACTCCCATGCCCAGTGCCCTGTTGTGTCAGACTCCATGTGCAAGGTCTCCTCCCGGGGAAGGGAGGATGCCTGCCAGGTTACAGATCAGATTGGCCGGCTGTGGCTGCAAAACTGTGTTGAGGATGCTGGTAGGGTACTGCAGAGGGATTGAAAGAGAATGGTGGAATGGATCTTTGTGATTTGAAACTGTTTGTCCAGTAATTAATATTTCTTTACCGTCTTTGTTTTTAACCTTCCAGTAAATCTTTTCCATTATTTAATCGATGTGTTCCACAAAATCCTGAATGCTATTCCAAATATGCATCTGTCTTAATAAGTATGGTTAATGAAATGGATGTTTTTCACCGAATTCTGAGTGCAATATTGGCAGGAAGAGATGCTGTGATAGGACTGAGTGTCCTTGCACTAGGTAAGGTTATAAATAAAAAGTGAATAATGATATTCAATTAAAATGTGAGGTTTCAAATGTTTCTATTAACTTTACCTTTTTAATTAAAAAGTGATCTTTTTCATATTTCTGGGCAGAGTTGTTTTTAAGAAAGAGTGATTGTGTTTTATAAGGAGGCATTTAATACAGCTCTATGAAATACCAGATTCTGTGTTCCTTGATATGATGATATACCTCATTTCAGGGGACTCTAAGATATCATTAATGGGAAAAAAAATAATGGCATCAGCATGAACATTTAAACTTAAATTTTATACAAAATATTATTCAAAAGCTAATAATTCCCAGGGTGAAATATTTCAGTTACGAGTTCATTATTAGTAAGTTACAGGTAACTGTGTGTTTTAAATTTTAAAAAGGTTGCCAGCTTTACTAAACGCTGTTGCTTTTGAGACCACTGTTTAAAAATAAAAGCCCAAATTCTGTAAAAACCTTGAATTTATATTCAAAGTAAATAAGAGTTAAGTTAAATGGGTTGTAACAGTCATAATAAACTTACTTTGTGTATTTTTCAGCCTTCTCTTTTATACTGGTTTTAGCCTTCAGATTCATTCGGACACTTCTGGTCCATACTTTGATTGCACTGGTTGTATTTGGGTTGTTATGTAAGTATATTTACCTTTTAGCATATGCTTAGTTAAATGGATCATCTCACTGAACTGAAGGAGAGGCAGCTGAACAAACAGCTATCCTTTTTCCCCATGGCCATCCTCAGTAACCTTAAGCTTACCACAGCCATTTCCAAGTGGAGCCCTGCTTGCCTTTTGGTGCCAAGGTCTGGCTGTGCTGTTCCAGCTGCTGAGCGTTGGGACGATGATGATTTTTATTTTTTTTATAGATGCCTGGAAACAGCATTTCTTTTGGCAGATGAACGCAGTTATGAAAATGCTACTGTTTCAAAGAAAGTTCAGTGAAGTTTTACATGGCCTGCTTTAGAAAGGGAGAACTATAGGAATGTGTCCAGCTAAAGCTTGCCATTCCATGAAAGTTAGCTTTGTATCTCCTCAGTGAGATTACATGCCTGAGCTTTAGAATAACTGCAAGAAAACCAAACGTTCTGCTGCGGTTTTACCTCAGACGAACAGACCATTATGGGAGTTTTCTCTGTGGTCGCTGATACTGTGCCTCGCTGCTATGCGACAGTATTCCTGAGCTGAGCTTGGGTTAGGCGGAAGGGCAGGAGATCCAGGAGGGAGGCCAGGCAGGCAGGCAGCAGCCTGCCACGGCTGTGTGCCGCAGCCTGGGGAGTGCGGCCCCCGCATTCACGCTGCTCTTGGTTGCTCAGTTGTCTCAGGTGTTCTCTGGTGGCTCTATTATGACTACAGGAACGATCCCAGCACTGAATTGGAAACAGAAAAGGAAAATGTAAAGTTTCTACTTGGATATGCTATCTTCTCAACAATAGTTACCGTAAGTAGCATTTTACCCTAAGCAATGGCAGAGGCTGTAACTTGAAAACTTGAACTACAGTGGTTCTGCCACAGTAAGTGTAATTCCTCGTTCCTTTCAAATTTGCAAATGAGAATCAATTATAAGATCTGCTTACAGTCGTTTAAATAGTTTTATATCTTCATTGTGAAATTTGTTTGTCAGCACAAGGCTCTGCCACACTTCCAACCTGTACAAACGGTGTTAGCGTTGGTGGTGTAGAAATGCAAGAATTGTGTTCCATCCCCATTCTTCTCTGCATCAGCTAACTGGAGAATCATGTCAAGTGAACAGAGGGGCACTGGCTTGATATGAACATGAGATCTGTGGATTCAGCCTACCCTACCAGTAGAAGAAAGGGGTGGAAGTTCTTTTAGACAATGAAAGGGATAGTGAAGCACAGGCAGCAGTGTCTAGGCCTTCAAGTTGTGGGGTTAAATTCTGCTTTTCTCTCGCTGACCTTGTTTTCCAATAGAAAATCTGAGTGTGGCTCGCAACTTTTAAAGTGATTTTTTTTCACTCTGCTGTTGCAATGTTAAAGGAGTCATTGCTCAATGTGAGTGTATGGACAATTTGTACTTCATAAGAGATTTGTCAAAATGATTGTTCTTCTGTTTTCTTAAAGCAGAGTAGGATCCATAAGCTGGAGTTCACCAGATATAAACAGTCTGACAGTTTACAGTGACAAATATAAATGTGTCACAGATCAGATTTTTTTCATGTCCTCTGTAAGTTATGACCTTTTTACTTCTGTTGATGCTGACGGGGTAAGAAAAGTTTCCTTTGTATGCATATGAGTTCCAGTACAAGTGACTGTCTTTTGCAGAACTGTGGGAACATCCACTGCTGCAGATTATGCTTCTCTTCAGACCTGGTGGCTGTTTTCTAGAGCAGGCAAGAAAACTAGTGAAGCAACTGCCACTGGCTGCATTTATTATTTTATAGACTCCAACCTCTCTTTTAGTTGCTGTTCAGTTCCTTGTCATATACAAAGAACCGGGGACATTGTGAGGTTTTTGACTCAGGGTTTTGTTGTTGTTGTTTTTACTTTTGGAAAAAAAAAATTTAAATGAGGTTTAATTTTATGTCTGCTTTGCTTCCATACATACACAGCTTCCAAATTAGTTTGGTTGTGCTACTGTCCTTTCTGCAGAAAAGGACTGGTCCTCCTAGTGAACGTAGCGAGCTGACCTGAATAGGAAGAAAGTTTGAATGTTCGTGACATACAGGTTATGTGAAAGCAATGTATAGTGTGTAACGTGCATTTGTGTTTGCTGTAAAGCAAACCAGACTGTTTCCATTAGGTGAATTACAGTTTTATGTATCCTATTTTGTTTTAAAAAAACAGTAGTAAAGATTTCAGAAAACCAGATTTTAATCTACAGGCTCTTTGAGAATATAAGCAGTGTCTCAGAAAGCTTTTCCAGTGCACAATAAATTTGTGTAGAATGCCTTCCTGTCATGTCTCTGTGGAATCTGTACCCCCTGATTCCACATTTGACAACTCTGATAACTTAAGGACAAAACCCCAACAATTTGTCTTTTTATTTCCTGTAACAGGTTGTTCTCCTTTCCCTTATACTTGTACTAAGAAAGAGGCTTCAGTTCACTGTACAGCTCTTTCGAATTGTTGGTAAAATCATTGGCAGAATTCCTTTGCTCCTCTTCCAACCGCTCTGGACCTTTCTGATTCTCATTGTGTTCTGGGTATTTTGGGTTGCTGTACTGCTTAGCTTAGGAACTGCAGGTAAGTATATGCTTTCCATGTTTTTGGATGAATGCTATCTGTTTCCTAAGTTCAATTCTTAAATAAGGGTCCTCCTGGTGTTAGTGTACAAAATGTGGGCTAGCATTGTTACACAGCTGTGTTACTCTTTCATTTTTTTTGTTTATTTTTTTCCCCCACTTGTTGGAGTCTTCAACATTGAAATAGTTCTGTGAGTCATAGCACTACAGGAGAGAGACTTTTGCTCCTATATGTGGACTTCAGTTTTGTTCTTTCTCAATTATTTAATTTGTGATTCGATTGTGGTAGATACAGTATATGTTTGATGCATTTAAGTGAAGAAAGTAACAGGAGGGAAGAGACAGCTTTTAGTGCAGTTATGAAATGAGAATGTTCATCTCCTCTGATGACAAACAATGTCCAATTGTCGTGGATGCAGAACATTGTTTCTGAGCAGTAGTTCAGTGACAACTGCTATCATTATTTAGACTGGTACAACAGTATTTGGATTAATCCAATGGTTCTTGCAGTTGTAGGAGAGGTGCTCTGTAGAAATAGTTGATCACCAAGAAAGATCTGCGAGAACAGATTTTGAGTATGGAAGTGGCATTACTGAGGGACGTACCACTGTAAGATCTGTCACTGATTGAATGGGGGTAATTTGGGTACTGTCCCTTGGCCCAGCATCATGCCATCCAAGGAAAGGGGAGGTAGGTCTTCTCTGCAACATCACCCAAAGAAGGGAAGCTAAACTCTGTGTAGCTCTGGGGATAACTCCTCATGCGGACATCAGCCTTTGTACATAGGAAGTATTATGATTTGGGGGTGGTTGGTTTTTTTAGTTTGTTTTGGGTTTTTTTAAATTTTAAATTTCTAGGGCCACTGCTAGGAGTCAGCTGTTATCCTTTGGGTTGGAGCTGATGCAGAATTGATGCGGGTAGAGGCAGTTGTTTGTCATTGCCATATTTACGTACAGGTTTTCTCTTTTCTGAAACTTGGCAGTGCTTTCTGTGTGGAAAAACAAATGCAGCCTAACTCTTCAAATGCTTATGTGTTACCATTTTATCTTGTGTTTCCACCACCCCTTGAGACAGTGGCTGCAGTAACTCCTCTGTACAGACTTACAGATCCCTGCTAGGCCAGAAAAGCCTCCAACCTTTCTGTAGCTGAGCCCATTTGGCAAAACTGGCAGCATTCCCCACCTCCATGGGTCAGGTACCTCACTCCTCTTCCATCACAGCTGCTTCCATCTCAGCCTGACCCTGTTAATTCTGGCTCTGTACAAGACCCACTTCGCTTGAACATGAGAATCTGTCTGTCTGAGTCCATGCTGGCATTGCAAATCACTCACCCATTGCTGTTTCCCTCTAGCTTTCATTGGAGAGTCATGCAGGTTTGCAAGGGTCTCTCTGTTTCTGCTGCCTTTCCCCCACTAGCTCACATCTGTTAGAACTTGTCTGACTTGTTCTGGCTGATAACTTGCTTCTCCTGCAAAAGGGTCAGACCTAGCAAGGCCGAATGTCCAACCCGCTGTCCCATTTGGAGTTGTTCCTGGCTGACTAAATAGTCAAGCAGATTCACTTTGCTTTAGGTGTCATGTGTGTTCCTTCTCCACACTCCTCTGGGTTGGATTTTCCCTTTTCAGAGACAGCATTACATGCTAGACACAGCTTTGTCTGGTTGTTAGCTTTTCTGCAAAATCGTAATCCCATTTATGCATGTATCAGCCAGGCAGCAGTAGTTTTCAAACTGCCCTTGTGGGGTAGCTTATTACTGGTTCAGACCTGTCCTTTATAGAAAGGAGCATCTCCTGAGCTATCAACCAACTGTTCATTTCATGCACCTGCTTGGATCAGATGCAATATGAGATAAAACATTAACTACAGTAAATCTAGTAGCAGGTAAGTAAAATTAAGTATAACACACAGATTTCCTAAATATATAATTAACAATAACTATCAGAGGAGATACTACATCCTTGATGTTAAGCTGAGCTGACCCATCACCCACAGGAAAATTCACTGGTACTCTTAATGTGCACACATAAGGATGTGAAGCCTGCCCTTGTTAAATCTAAATTTAGAAAATGCCAGGTGAGTCTGTTGTATTCAAGAGCTTTTTGGAAACACAGCAATCATTAGAAGGGTAGAAATATTTTAGCTCATATGACAGACACAGCTTGATGGTAAGTACAGGGTGGGGAACTAGTCAGGTATTTCCTGGATGCTTTTACAGACTTTGCGGGAAAGTAGTGACTTGCACATTACATCCGAAAGCAAATTCAAAATGTATTCACAGGGAAATAAAACCCAATGAAAACTGCCTTTGAGAGGCTTTTTATGCTTTTTCCGTGTTGTGCCATTTTCCTTCATAAGTTATATTCTCTATTTCCTGCTAGACATTTCCATTCAACTTTTTTTTCTTTTCCTGGGCTTGCTTGGAGAGTAGGATTCAAACAGTTTATGACCTGCTGTTACATTCATAGTGCAGCACGCGTCTCCCGACTCAAAGGTATTTTATTTTTTGTCTTCTCCCTAGCATAGTTGGAATCCTGATGTTTCTAGCAAGTGATACAAACAGTACAGTACACAAGGTAGCATAATCTTGCCGCACAGTAGAGTGATGTTAAAGTTTCTAGGACACTCTCAGTTTTGAAAGAATTGACTTTCTGCAGATTCAACATAAGAAGGGAAGGTCATTTCCAGGCACTTAACTGTCAATATGTTGCTCATATGAGTAATCTAGTAAAACATATGTTTTGACTGAGATCTTCTGCCAGGATATTTTTAGTGTAGATGTCAATCCTTGTAAGATTTTTCTGTCAACAGTTAGCATGTTAATATTTAAAAGAGAATGTGCATTTGATAAATAATCCAAACCAATTCCAAGTTACAGCCTGTGCACGAATGCAGATAGAAAAATGCCACTCTACGTATTTGATTGTTTCTGGTTAAAACTCGATTCTATTAATTTTATCCTTTGTATTTGTAACTATTCTTTTTATTATGCTGTCTGTGTTAAATGGTGGCTGTTGTTGCCCAACAGGTGTAAACTGAGTTCTTAGCAAAGTCCAGGGGCTGAGGTGTTTATGTAAATAACATGTAAATGACCTGCAGCAGCATCAGTGCCCGCTAGGTGCCGATCAAGTAGTGTGAGAAAGTTTCTTATGAATCGGTTCAGTTGTTGACAGCTGCTCTGATTACAGAGTAACTTCTCCTGAGAGGAGTTCGAAGACAACAAAGGCAATTTTAGCCTTTTAATGCTCTGAGGAGGTTGTGAAGGATTGTTTTATCCAGCTCTCAAGTTGAGGAGATTTGTTGAGGTGACAGAGGAGGTCAGTGTCAGCAAGAGCTATGATAGTTGTTTGGATTTCCAGTCCAAACTCTACCTCAGATTTGTTTTGTAGTTCAAAACTTGGACAAACGAACAGTAGACTAGATTTGGTATTCAGAATATTCCTTTAGATTGTATTTCAAATTTTCAACCCAAATATGAGTCCTGTGAAATGCTGCCTGTTAAAGCAGCTCACAGTAAGGTAGCTCATTGGGGGTTGTTTTGCTCTTCTAGGATAACTAGTACCTACACATTCTGTAAAAATAAATACATATAGTACTGTATGGTTAATAATGCACTGGCAGAACAGCTTTGTATTTTCTACTAGTTTTCTACAATCACCCTGTAAATGGAAGACATTTCTTTTGATTTTGAGTTTTGGGGCCTTTTTGCAACAGCTGAGAGTACTTCTCTGAAGATCTCCCAAGATACGCTCTCTTTGAGCAATTTATTTTCTCCGTTGACAAACAGTTGCCTCTCCAGGATTCAGTTTGTAAAATACAGGTGGCAGTTTTCTTGGTTTTGACACTTTGACTTTTTATTCTCACAAATATGTTTTCTGGGGATATGCAGACTATATTTTAAATGCAAATATACCAAGAAAGCTGAGAAAATGAAATGATTACAGAGACACTAGTCTTTTGTCTAATAGAGAGATCGGCAAGTGAAATTGGCTTGCTGCTGTGCTGCACCTGTTCTTAACATTTTCCTTGAATCTTCACTAGTTATATACTATTGATAGCATCTCTGCATCTTACAGCTCTGGACCACTTGATCCTCACTTCAGCTGTGGTGCACCTGATCATTATGTGACCACACAGGCACCTTATTTACATCCCCTCCAAAAGTTAGTGTTACTCTGAGAAAAGACTTAACTTCTTGGAAGCTATAGAAGACTATAGCCCGCACTTGGAAAGGTACTTATGCACATGACTAACTTGAAGCACGTGGATAATCCTATTAAAATCAGTGGGACTACTTAGGCATTCTAAGGTAGGCACCTGCTTAAGTACCTTGGTAATTCAGAATCTGTAAGAGCAGCAGAGACTGAATTCCAGACGTAGAAAACTAGGAGAAATGCCAAGACTCCACAAGACTTGAGACAGCACAAACAGTGGCACCAGTTAGAACCATTAGCTGGCTAGGAATGGAATTCAGCTGTGCTTTGGAAAAGCTGATATGTCTTAGGGTTATTGAGTCTTATTGTTTGAGAATTTGTGTGGCATTTCGCTGCAGAGCTGAAGTGGCCATATGGCACAGCAAAGCATGTCTTTCAACTTGCCAGCATGCGGGAGCTGTGAAGTCCACATGGCATAAATACTATGCATGTATTGTAGGATGAGAAGGCGGTGTGAGATTTTCCTGTAATGAAGGTGCATCCTACAGGCAAGTGAGCAATAAAACTGCCACATAAAGCTGTGCAGTAGCAAAACCAGCAACAAAAATCTATTTCCTGCAGGGTCCTTGACATTCCAACTAGTCATCTAGCTTAGCTGTAAATACCACTACCTGGAAAGGCCTAAATAAAATAGCACAGTAAATTCTGTTGCAGGAAACATGAAGGTTCAGTGTATGATGCCAGAACCTTTCCTCACTTAGCAATGGGAAGGACACATCATATTTTCACGTTAGCAGGAACTGATAAACAGGCTCTCGGTATTTTCTGGTCAGTGGTTCTTTGTTTCTGATAAGGAAATTGCTGGACTAGACTTCTCAGGAATTTTCATCCCTTACAACAGCCTACTGCTCCAGGCATCAGCAGAACCTTGCAGCAGCAGTTGCTGAGTAGCAGCAACTCTCATGAGTCTGAAAGTACCAAAATGTAGCTAGTGATACTGCATGTGCGCACTGACTTCTGTATCGTTGGATTGCTGTGCTGACTGACACAATGGCACAGCACAGGGCTGCAGAGTCAGGTGGAGAAACACTTCTGAATTCTGCTGCAAACACTTGAGCCTGTTTGCATTGTTAACAACACTTTTTTTGAAGCATTTGCAGCAGATCAACATTTGTACTGATCAGAGGTTTTCAGATTTCATGATTCAGCTGTAGGGACTTCGGTTCTTCACTGACTTCTTAATGTTATCACTGAGAGTGTATAGTATACCAGCAAAATTCATGATTATGTAGTTGGAGAAAAATATTCTGTTGACAAATTAAACCATATTTCAAGCCTTTGTTGAGAAAGTTTAGCTTCTGTGAACAGATAGATCACAGTGGAGTGATGAGGGAAATGGCATATACTTTTCTCAACAGGGTATCCAGGATAGCTTTGAAGTTTATCTGTGCTACTAAGACTGATATATGAAAAACAGCATTGCGTGTAATTCTGTTGACAAAATTATGTGTGCACAGTAGGCCCAGTCAGACACAGATGTTTACACTGGTAAACAGATTTCTGTGAAGTAACAAAAACAGTTTACCATACCTAGACAGCAAAGTGATCAGTGGTGAACTCACAGGTGGATGTGCCTGAATTCTGTGCAGCAGAGCACAGTGCTGTGCACATGCACATGTGTAAGGTTGGCCAGAAAAGACAAAGCTATTACTGTGGTTATTGCAGGTGATTATTTCAGTAGGCTGGTAGAAAGCAAACAGAATTAGTTTACCATACATACATTTGTCAGTCTTCATGACAAAAATACAGAAGCAAAGCCTGAAATGTGCTTTTTTTGGAAAAGAGATGTTCAGGTGGATTGTATGATGGAAAATGTGCTTAATTCTCCTACCAAGTGGCATAATGTCTTTGCATAAAAATGGGGAGGTAGGAGACCTTCTTGTATCTCACTGACCTGTCATTTGCATAAGTTCCCTTAGTAAGGGCTGTTAGGCTATGGTAAATGAGCATATTTGGGTAGTGTGTGCTGCGGGAAAACAGCAATATAGAGCCTCTGGAAGAAGTAAGGGCAGTGAAAAATCCTTGAATGGCATAGCATATAGCTTATTTTAATGTACCTATCTGTCCTCAAAATTTCCCCTTAAAAAACCCCAAACAAACAGTGTTTGCATCCAAACTTAAAACCAGGAAGGCACAGGATGGGGATGAATGGCTGAGAGTTTGTGAGAAGAGATCTTAGTGGTAGCTTTTTCATACCACCAAGTATCTTGCATTTCACAGGCTTAAAATACATTTGAATATAACGGAAGCAACAATATTTCTGTGAATGAGCAACAGTATAGCACTGCAAAGAGCTTGCCTGTTTAGCTAAAAATGATAACTCTGCAGAAAATAAAATATCTAGAACATATGTGTGCGTTTATGCACCCTTGTAGCATTTTTTTGATCCTTTCAAAGCACTTGAAAATAATTTTGTAATGCTACTATGGGGGAGGTAAATACTTTTCATAATTTACAGACAAATAGACCTTGGTTCTAAGGACTTATAAAGCTTGTCTAAACCTGATGGTATTCCTGAAAACAAACCTTTATTGTTTCTACTCTTAGCTATTCTTGAGTATGAACTCTGTGGCTATAGAAAAATAAGACAGAAATAAGTGAACCATTTCATAGATAGCTTTGTATCTGTGGTAGTTTTGAACTTCAAAGTGGTGGGCTGTCCTGTGGCAGAACATAGAATCATAGAATCATTTAGGTTGGAAAAGACCTTTAAGATCATTGAGTCCAACCATAAACCGAACACTGCCAAGTCCACTGAATGAATACATGAAGTATTAAAGGTTAAGTTATAATGCTGTTCTAGCAGTAATAGATAATTCTACATCTCACTTTGTTATTTCTTTCATGGAGTTAGAATAAGAAAATACTCATGTCCAGAGATCATTTTATACTGTGAACCTGTTTAAGGTTAATAGACTTAAGGCTTGGTAAACTGAAAATATAGCAGGTGATGGACCTAGAGACCTTTCACTAGGAACAAATGTCCCGATGCCATTATCCCCTGACTAGACTTAGGAGTCAAGTGGCATAAATAGGATTGCATAGAGAAAGGTCTGATTCGTAAGTTATCTGAGTTATGCCCACCTTTTGTGAAAAGCCCTCTATTGCATATGGAATAAATTCCTTGTTATTAAGAGAAGCGGAGGCAATTTTTTTTAGCTTGAATGAGCAAATTTGTCAATGTTCTTGAATATAGTAGTAACATTGGAGCATATACTACCATATAGATGTCTGTGGTTTTGGTTGGGTTTTTTTTTTTGAAGAGGCTACCTTTATGTGCCTGTATTTTGTACAAAGATGGCAAAGTATAGAGAACAGAAAACTAGTTGCTGTGATTCTAATTAGTAATAGTAATTAAAATAATAGTTTTGGTTTGTTGCAATGGTACATTATACATCCTTAATGTTTTTCTGCAGTCTTTGTCTTTTGCTTTTTACAGAAAAAATCTAAAGCATTTTGTAACTATGAGTTTATTTCAAATTTGAATGAAGAAAATTAAAATTTCATTTACTTCTGAACCATTTGATTACTTGAGGAATGTTTTCTCTGAAATCTTTACGAATTCATAGCTATCTTCTTGACTTTATTGGCAGCTGTGTCTCATTCGCAATTTAAACCCAAGCTTTTGCTTTTTGTAAGATTTTAATTTTCAAAATTCTGTTTGAATTACAGAATTTTGGCTGACTCTGTTAGAGTGGATAAAATTCAGTAACACCTGAATTTATTTTTTTATACTTTTATTGAAGAAAAGTTAAGAAAAAGAGTACAGAAGCACTTAGATGTTTTGGGGGGGGGTTGGGTTTTGGGTTTTTTTTCCTTGTCTGGTGTGTTATAATAATACAGTGGTGTAATGTCAAATCCAGGTACTGCACAGACTACTTCAGGAGGACAAGTAGAATACAGAGCTCTGTCTGGAATTTGCTACATGGCATGGTATCATTTTGTTGGCCTTATCTGGACTAGTGAATTCATTCTTGCCTGTCAGGAAATGACAATTGCTGGGGCAGTGGTTACCTGTTACTTCAACAGGTAAGTGCAGCATTAACCCTGTATAGTTTTGGGGATTTTCCAGCATTTACTTTCAATCTTTTTTCTAGCCAAAATAGTCTCAAATAGACTGCAATTTTTGTCAACATCTTGGCGTCCAGTTTAATATAAAATAATGTTGCTTGTTGCAAGATCTTGACTAAGATTTTACAATGTGTGTAATATTAATGTGACTCACCCCTACCACTGGAGTTACCAGGCCAAACTGAGCCTTGATGCAAGCCAGTAGAGCTCAGGTGACTGGTGAAATTGTCATTTGGAAGACACAGGCTGTATCTGACCTTTTCGCAAGAGCCTGCATTATCTCCAAATGGAGATGCAATATGTAGCTCCTTGGTAATTTCATGTAGTCATAGGCAGTTTGGCCTCGTCCTAAGTGTTCATCCCTGCTCTGGGTTTCCATTTGTTCTGCCTGCATAAATGTCTAGTCTGCTACTCTTTTTTTCATTCTGTGCAGATATTTTCAGTTAACTGTAAATGCTTTAACACTGCTCTTAAGAATTTAGAGATGTGTAAACAAACTTCCTTGAATTTTATATTGCCCTGAGATGTAAATGTGGAAGAAATGAGGAAAAATCTCTACTTTTCATGATTTGTACTGTTTGTTAGACTTGCAGTATTGTAAAATGAAATTAAATTGGTTTCATGCACTGGAGTGGTGCTATCCTGTCATTGCAGGGGGAGATTTAAATCTCACAATAAATTGTTGAGGTTTTTGACAATGAAGAGAGTAGTATCCTGAAAACGTTTTTCCTCATAAGTATTTTATGAGCGCTCTCACCCTCATTGCTCTGTTCTTCTATGCCCATAATAATATTTTCTGATCTGTGAAAAAGTCTGGCATTTTAAGGCATTTCTTCATTTTGTATCAGAGGAATATGGTGATAATCTCAATTTTTTGGAAAACTAGCCCTTGAGGAAGGTGATGTGAGAGTGAGTCGCGTAGCCTGGCAGGAGAGGGCCTGGGGACCCTGCAGCACTGGCTGCTGCCACCCAGGACTATTGGGCTTGGGTGGCTGGGAAGGGAGAGACTTTGGGCTTCTCCAAAACCTAGGTAGCATTTTTCTGCTTATGGTCTCTAGAATGTATCCCTAGATGTTTCAGTTGCTGATAGAAAGGCCTCCTGCTGAAAGGTTTCCAAATAGTCTGTTCCCCTCTGCCCAGCAGAGACAGCAGCACAAGCCCCACTTGCAGGAGCGACAGTGGCTCTGCCCCAGCCAAAGCAGCAAAGCTAGAAGACCTGGTAACAGCCAGTGCCCGCCATTGTTTTAAGCAATGTTCATCTCCTCCAAAAAGCCAAGGCAGGGCAGTGTTTAACAGGTGTATCAGGATCCTGTCTCTGCTAGGATTCTCTAGGCAGCCAACAGCCATGCCACTGAACTGGTGCTAGTAAAAGAGCAGACAAAACCTAAAATGCTGCTTTTTAAAGGCTGAGTTCTGTAGAATGACACAGCTACTATTTTACATGCCGTGATAGGACCTGAAAAGGGAGGAACTTGTGTTTCTTATGTCATCTCCTTTTTCCTATTGAAGCTCTAAACATAAGTACCTAGCATGGCTGTGGTTCTGTGGGCAATGGGCTGCTCTTTTCTTCTAAGAAAATCTAGGTACCTCAAGCTTTAGCAATTGATTCAGCTTGAGCAGCTGAGTGCTGAGGCACTAAGTGTTCATTTAAATAGGCTTGCTTGAGAAAGCACAGGAAAGAAATGCAGTTTCACTGACTTACTGGGTAGTGCACTGCAGTGTGTTTTGGTACGACACACCGTCTAAATCCCCAGGGCAAAGGCACTGTCCATATCTTCATCACACAGAGCAGGGAAGCACCTGTAGAAACTGCTGTGATGACATTTACTGCTCTGTTAGGGTCTTCCGCTTTCCAGCTATTTTTTACTGCTGCAGGAACTGGCCACAGAATACAGAAGGTTCCTGCACTCAATTGTATTGAAATCATTTTGTACCTCTACTGTCGAGCCCTCCTCTTGCTTGCCAGGTGGTGTGTACTGTGTTGAGACTGTTGTGCCTGGAAGGGGAAATGCAATTTTTCTGCGGCGGTGATCCCTCTTCCTGGCCTTTAAGGCTGTCAGCACAGATCTGCAGAGACACAGAGCAGTGCAGGAATGGGGAGGGGATGGTTAGCTGCAAGAGCAGTCGCACCATCAAGGGCAAGGGTTATCTCACCCTGTTCCAGCAATTCTGAGCTTGTCTGCTGTGTATTTTTAATGCATTCCCTGGGGCAGCATCATAAAGGCATGTCACAAGAGTTTGTTTATGATACCTCACAGAGAGGCTTTCTTCTTTGCTTGTAAGCGCTCCGAGGAAATGGCACGGCCTTTCCCTGCGGAAATCTCCTTCCACAGCACACGCAGCCATGTGCTGCATGGCTAACAGCCACAGTGGAGTTGCAAATGGGGAGGTCATTTTAGCTGGATTAGCTTTACAGGTGAAATGTTTGACCTGTAATACCACCACTGAAAATGGGTTTTGCCTTCTTTTATTTCAGTTGAAACATGAATACATGAAAGATTTTTTAAATTTAATACAATAAACAGAACTTTTTTGCTTAAAGATTACTTTTTATGACTTGTGAAAAGGGCTCAGTCTTTTAAAAAAACCTTCTTTGTTACTATTGCTGTTGTATTTTCATCTTGGTGTGCTTAGGTGTTATGTGCGTATTTACCTTTTCAGTGAGATGAGGCTTTTCTCCTCTCTGGGATTAAAGGATGCCAGTATCACAGGCATCGCTGTCCTGTCCATGTTTGAGCTTATTCAGTAACTCCAATGCATGTATGTCACTGCAGAGGGTTGAAATTAAGGAAGTATATAAGCATTTTCAGGATTGGGTTTTCCACCTGACTACGGTGTTCAGCACCACAACTTCCAGTAGATTCAGTAAGAGGTGAAATATATACATCTCCCAGCATGTCAAAAATCCAGGTTTATGGATTTGCACCAAAGTCATTGAGCGATGAACTAGGACAAATTCTTTTAAAGGATTCTTCTTCCCTTTTCAAATACATCTGCAGTATTTATGAGCATCCTTTGCCCTACTTACATACTTGACCTAACCCATGTAAAAGCCATCAGCGTGTATGTAGTCAGACCTGTCCCTTGTGGTTTTAAGAGCAGGTAAAAGGGCAGTTGCAAGTACAGTCTGTGTGTTCTCTGCTAGTCTGATAATGTCTCTTTTGTTACAGATCTTGTAATTTATTGTATTTGTTTAAAACCTGAGATTTATATTTACTTGAGGAATATATGATTCATTCCTTAACGTTTCTAAAGTATTTTATGCTAAATCTCTTTTTAGTCAATTTTTGAAACAGATGAGGCAGGATTGAAGAAAACTGTAAGCACAGCTCTGAAAACAAGGACAGGCTTTTAAAGAAATGCTTCCCTCCCCCCTCCCCCCCGCCTTTCAAATGTCTACATCTTTTGGGTGTGTCAAGATTACTTTTTTTTCTTCACACAAAAAAAGTGTTTTTAAAATGAAAGCTGAGATGTATGGATGATCATTTGATTCAAGGAACTTGGTGCTAAGAAAGATACCTAGTCTCACAGAGCTCACAAGAAAATAAAGACAATTGGCAGCACTGAAGAAAGAAAATTATTAAAAGATGGTGTGGTATAGAGTACAGGTTCACAGGGTTTTGGAATAGTAGTGTTCTATGTAAATCAAACAATCCTGTGGTAACGTAAAACAGGAATTCCAAAGAGGAAAAGCAAGCTGTGGCCCTACTCAGTCTTGTAACGAGTTCTATCAGGCAGAGTTATGTTTTTCCCGATACCTTGTGTGCATGCAGTGGAGTCTACATGCACAGAATTCACTGCACAGTATGAACGGCCTACAAAACTTCATGCGTATGGCTGACTGTATGCTTGTACTAAGGTCATTTCAGGATTGCAGCCATGTAATGTACAAAGCTGGGTGAAACTTCATCCTTAAGGGTAATTGGGTATAGGTGGATGATGGAGCCAACCTTGAGCTTGTTTGGAGTCACAAGCATCACCTGTTGTTGTGTTTAGCTAGCTGTTTTCCTGTGTTTCCTACCATGAGCCACAATTGCAAGGAAAATGTTTTGTTCTTTTTCTAATCTGTTTGGAAGCAAAGCAAGAAACCTTGTCAGACCCTGTTCTTGTGTGAATTCCTTTGCTAAGAAAAGAAGGTGTGGAAAAGCATCCAAATGGGTGGAAATTTATCTAAACTAAACTTCAAACTTTGACACTCCTGCTCATTAATCAGTTAAAAATATCAAAACCCTGCTTTATTTTTCTCTTCAGTAGCAAGTAAGTTATTAACACAAGAGTAAACTTCGTCCTTTCTGTATGTCTCATCCTTGGTTAACATTTAACTGGCAGAAACTTAATCTTTCGTATTCTGAGATCTGACTAAGACTGTAATATGTAAGGTAGTGTAAGACACTGGTACTACATGGAGAGAATAACTCATCTATATTGCAATGTATGTGTTTCTAACACAGAAACTTGATGACTTAAAACCCCAACAAACCTGCCTTATTCAGTATAAAATTCCACTATCCCCCAAGCTGTTCCCCTAGTTGTAAGACCAAAAATAATAAATGCAGCAACTGCTTTGCTGGAATTTCCTATTTAAAATAATGTGGTATATTCACATATTTAAATGCAACTTCTCGTCTGCAAAGTATTTAGTGTTTTGAATGAACTGCAGTGATACCTTCAGGATTCTTGTAGAATTGTGATACCTACATTGATATAGTGTGTATGATTTAAATCCTTACCAAAGTGAGAATTTAATAAAAATATATTTGTGGAGCTTTTTAGCCCCAACCAGTCACCCTTTTATGACTGCCTTTTTTTTAGTTTCTTGTGCAAACTGTTAATTTTCAAGATAACAGAGGTTTTGAAGGAATTACTTATGAAAATAGGAATCTTATTTGTGGTACAAGGTCTGAACTCTACTTAACTACTTAGTCAAACTGCTGCTGGTTCTGTTGCCTAAGTAAATTTTTCAGGCTTGGGCCAATTGCTTAAGAATTGCTTTATAGAAGGGCTATTTATGACTATTGATCAGTGGGGTTTTTTTAATCCTCTGAACCATTTTTTAAAGGTATTTATAGTGTTAATCTAACCGTTGTGGTTTTTTTTTTTACAGCATTTGAAGAGGGGTGGGGGAGTGGCTTTAAGTTAATTTCCTGGGTTTTATATAAATTCTTGAGAGCTGTGTCATATTACTCCCTGTAAATGATTGACATTAAACTGACCTTTATAAAGGAACCAAGAAAATAAAACTTGTATTTAGGCCAATTTTTTTGTCCTTACTTTTTGATTTTGGGAAACACATTATTTCTCAAAAAACCCCCAACAAGTTAGTGTGCAGTAGAATTACAAGATTTTTAGACCAAATTGTAATTCTAAACATATAGTATGATATTCCTTTTTTGTGTATTCCATTTTAAAACAAATCCCGCTCAATGAAAAAAAAAAAGTATTATCTGAACAAATTTTAACACAAAATTTTACCAAATTGCAACAATAAAAGTAGATAGTAGATCTCAATTTTAAATGTGAAAGCTTGTGATATTTTTTTCTAGTTTTAATTTTACCACTAAAGCAGAAATAGAGAGTTCATTCCATCAGGCTAAAATCTTGCAGAAACAACAGTCAAATAAAAGATTGCAGAGAATAAGAGAAGTGACAGAAACTGGAGAGAGGTGTTCAAGGAAGTATTCTCAGATGTTCACTTACTTCTGGTATTTTCCATTTGTAGTTTTTTTCTAGATATTTTTCCATTACTGAATACATCGAAACCATCATTGCTTAAGAATTAAACTAATCCAATAAAAGTTATAAGCTTGGCCATTTTCCTTTGGACTAAGGTGAACATTCAGATGAAGTCAGTAGGAAAACTGGAGTTGTTCAAGTGGGAAAGGGGATACCAGTTTAATTCTTTAAATTTCCAAATACTCAAGAGATACAATGTATATCTTCTTAAATAAGTTTCTAAAACATTTTTAAATTGTTTGTTTTTCTTTCTAGAAATAAAAATAGCCCACCACCTCACCCAGTCCTGTCTTCCATATCAGTTCTTTTTTGCTATCATCTAGGAACTGCTGTAAAAGGCGCATTTCTAGTCACAATACTGAGAATACCAAGGATTGTTCTTTTGTACCTTTATAATATCCTAAACCAAAAGGTAGGTATATATTTCTGTGACGCTATAAAAATAGTAGTTAAAAGGTGAGATTAATGAAAAAAAAAGTGAAGAATATACTTCTTGATTAAAAATGGATGATATCATGTGGATTTTATATTTTATCCCATTTTCTTCATTAAAAAAACTTTTTTTTCCTCAACTTGGATATCCATTCTTCCTTTTTTTCTCTCAACTAAGATATTTTTAAAAGCAGAAAACACCAACATTAAAAACCACCTTTATTTAGTGTTTATATATAAAGGTTTTTATGAAGGACAAAGGAAAAATTTGGCAGAATGCTCTATTTAAATTTTTTGCATCATAAATTTAAAAAAAGCAAAAGTAAGAAAGAACATTATTGTTGCATATAAAATATCTTATAGAAAAGATTTCATCTGCCTTGTAATATGAGTTTACAGAAAGAATGTATGAAATAAGAACTATTCCAGAGATTTGTGTAGGATCCAAACCACATCTTTTAAGATACATAAAAAATATAGCTGGGCTGTTTTGATTGTTGCTTGCCTTTTTTCTGTCTTTCATGCATCTCCACATCTCTCATCATCTGCTGAAAACATACCATTGGAGTTAGTTCTGGAACTCTGGCAAGGAGAGAGGGCTGTCGTGACTGCACAGCTCTGATTTTAGAGGAAGATTTGGGCAAAGTTTTTAAATGTAGGTCTTTTCCTCTAGAGTTTACCTTGGCCTTGAAGCATGTTATGTATAGTTGTGACAGGGTATTTACATTGACCATTCCTGGTACCTGTGAGGCATGTGTGTGGAGTATAGTTTATGAATGCTTAAATAAAAGCCCCTTGTAATAAGATACTTGAAAGATGTGTAAGTGTCTGGGTTTATGTCGCTTTCATAGGACAGCCTTGGTTATAGAACTTGGTGAATTGGGTCAACTAAGAACTTTGTTTAATGATGATAGGTGGGGTGAGTTGTGCTAGACAGAAGGTAGAGTATTTTCTGCCTCTAGAGGAAGCAGAGTAAGTGGACTTGGTACGTGGTTTTGTAATCTGAATAGCTGTAGAAGATTTAACTAGCAAAGAAAGATTATTTGTGTCTATAGCACTGTGCTACAGGCTCCTTTTGGTCCAGTTGCCAAGCATTCAGCTGAGGATGTGATGTGACCAATAGCTGTAACTGCTGCTAAAGAGGCTATAAAGTGCTCGGACCAGCTTGTGTCCCCAGTCAACAGAAGAATCCCCCCACAAAGTAACCTTGCTCCTTCCCATGGGAGAAAGGACAGGCTATGGCCCCTTTCCGTTGAGGCTCTTTCTATAAAGGGCCAGAGTAGTGCTACTGAAGGATGGAGAAGTGGTGCTGCATTCTTGTAGAGCTCACCCAGATTTTGCCACTCTTGCAAGAAATGCTGCTGTTTTCTGTGAACAGGAGCAAACATCAGGGGTCCGCAAGCTTGCAGGTAAATTCACAGATGTTTTCTACACAGCAGTCTTCAAGCAGAATCAGAGAGGAGATTGTGTTTGAAGTCCCTTGCTCTAGGTTTTTAATAAACAGTACTTACTGGGGTTAATACAGTTTTAGTAAAATCATCTCTCCAGCAATACACATCAAGATTAAAGTATTTCTCTGCTGTCAGGAGTTTGTATGTACAGTCACCATTTTAAAGGAATTATTCCTGGAATATTTTCAAGAACCTCTTTGGAAAAAAGTTGGGAGGTTCATGATTTCTGCACAAAGAATGGTAGTTGTGGGGACCTGAGGTTTTCATATAGTAACTGGAAGATCTCTGCTTTCCGAAACAAAACAAACACATTCTGACCTCTGGAAAAAGAAGGTTAAAAAGACACAAGTATTGCTGAACTGAATTTCCTTTTACCGAGAAAAACAGCCGGTTAAATTTGGCAGGCTACCACGGCCACCAAGATGTCTTTTGCTTGTCTTGCTTGGTAAAATCTTTATATGGTAAACAATTCTGAGCTCATGATGTGATGGGGGGGTGGGGGGGGGTGTCAATCAATGGTCTATGAATGGTCTGTTCCAATACCTGCTTTTTCTTCCTGTCCTGAAAAATGAATGTATTCTCTGAGTCAGTACCTGCACATGTGCATATAAGTCCTTCTGCCCATTCTTTTATTTCTGTTCATTAGGGTACCAGTAATTTCAGAACTGTGGAGGTTTTTTGATAAACAAAAAAGTTAAAAATCTGATGGTGCACTCCCTGATCACTGCAAAGTACTGTAAGGGTTACTGACTTGCCTGGCTGTTTTGTTCTCCAAGCAGCTGTCAGCTCACAAAGCTGCTTGCAGCACTTCTTTTCTTTTCCTAGAGAAGAATCTTCCATCTACAGGAAGAAAAAAAAATATGCTCAGCTCATCAGTCATTAATACTGAAGGGTCTGAATTAAAAACAGTTCCTGTAATCCTAAAGGAAATATCTGCTGCCTAAGTGAATGCTTTATTAGAAGAGTCAGTCACTTGTAAAGCAAGTTTTTCTAAAATGGCAGTACTGTTTGAGTCTAATTCTGTGTCCAGTAACCGAACATTTCATTTTATTGCAGGAGAGTGCATGTGCAAAGTGCCTGTTCAAGTGCTGTTTCTGCTGGTGTTGGTGCCAGGAAAATTGCTTGAGATACTTTAACCAGGTACACTCTGTCATCTATCTGTCACTCAACCATCTGCATACCTAGTCTAGAAACGGTGTGTGTATGCTAGCTCCATTTAGCACGACTAAAGCAACATCCAGCGTACGCAAGCCAAAGTTTCCTGCTGGCCACCTAAACTAAACAAACAAAAAAGTCTTGAAGTGTAGATGGAACTTGTTGTAAAGAAACAGGGAATTGGCAAACATGCAAGGTGCAAGATTTTAGAAAACTTGTTAATACAGCTTGAGATAGCCCTTTCAGAGGGCCACTTGCTATTTCTGTAGGTAGGAAGACTTAACATTTTGTTGAGTTGTGCCAGACAGACTACTGAAATACAGTGGGTCCAGGTGGAAGGAAGCAATGAAGAAGTAAGAAATCCACCTGGAGATGTGTCATTAAACTAGATACAGTATTTTCCACTTGAAAGTCCTGAATAAAGAAACTTGAACTCTTGGCTGATTTCCATTATCAATATATCTGGGAATATGATCCATGATGAAAAAGCCAGATGATATAATATACTCTTTCTTTGAAAGACATCTTTGTTTTGTTAGCAGTTTTGTTTCAAAAGTGTTTTTATTGGAAATGGATGATTTCTGACATACAGCAGTTTTTCCACATACTTGACTCCTACTTTTTCTGATCCTTTTCTCCAAATGTTTTCCAGCTCTGTATACATTGATGTAAATAGTTAATTTTTCTCTTTGTCAGTCCCCTTTTGTTATCTCTGGTGACTGTGGTATTCTTAATGTGAAAGGGAATCAGATGTTCATGCAGATTCCTAACTGTTGTTCTTTGTTCTCACTGCTGAGGGTAGTAGTGAAGTAAACAAGACAATTCTGATAAAGGGTCTGGCTTCTCCTCTAAAGTAGGTGCATAAATTAGCCTTAATCTTGGACAACTATGAAGAGAAAGTTTTTCACTTAGTTCAGCCTAGATTAAATACTTGTGCAGTGAAATCTCTAGTTCTAGACGATGAATTTTCCAGACTTAGATTTTTTAGGTAGATCTTATGGTCACTGACTTGGTGAGGAATCTCAGAGTTCATCTTGACTCCAGGCTTTCCATTTGTAGTCACCCTTTCCCCTTGGCTTTCTGCCTTTCAAAGAGATATCCAGTATCCTAGTGTTTACTTTCTCCTGCTGTTGTATGCTATGTGTTTGTTAAAAAAAAGAATTAATTACTGTAATGTTCTTCCTTTTGTTTCAGAAGTCTGTATTGTAGCTCATGTTCCCTTAAAAGATTTCCTGTTTCCTAATCTATTGTAGGCAAATTTCTGTTTTTATATGAGTTGTGGTTTTTAACCTAATGATCATAATACTGTGTTTGCTGTTAGAGAATTGTTTGTTTGAACATCTTTTTGGCAAAGACAATGGTGTTCCACGTGCTCCAAATCCAGGGCAGTTTGGGCGAGGGTTAGAGGAGAAGAAAAGCAAGAACATGCTGTAAGATTTTAACAGAAATTTTTATCTGTATGAAGGGGTAACATTGGTCTCAGGTTATTGTATTTCCTAGAGTAATTAATGAATCTCATTTTTTTTTTTTCCTATAAAGAATGTATTCAAGCCTATTTCTTAAAAAAACCATTTTGACTAAGATTGAAAATTTTCAGTTTTATAAAATCTGTGGCCAAATATAAGAAAGAAAAAAAAAGGGAAAAATAAAAGACAAGTCTGCAGTTTTAAGCAGGTTAACATATGGCTTGATTAACAGAAGTACTGAACTCTTAAGAGCTCTTACAGAGTGGTAAAAGCTGCTGGGTACAGCCTTGAAATTTCACATCGGTGTTGAACATGGACTTGAGAGGAATTAAAAAATTGCTTGTACCTATGTTTCTAACATTTTGAAAGTATTTTTAGTTCAGATTTTTTTTTTTGAGTTGAAACTACTGAAATGTGGAAAAGCTGTTACAAAAGTTGGTTCAAAGCTCATTGTGTGCATTAAAATTCCTTTACTATTTTTTTGCCTTTTATTCCAGTATTACCTTCACTATAGTAAAAAGCATATAATTACCTGAAATAGGAAAAAAAAAATAAAAAAAAAAGGGGCAAGCCTTCCCCATCACTTCTACACTATTTTCTTCAACCTGTTGTTATATTGCTTAGATGATTTAAATTCTTTCTCCTCCTTCATTCACAAGTTTAATCGGGATTAAACAGAGCCCCTTGTTTTCCCTTTGGGAAACTTGCAGATGAGAAACAGGTGCTGGAGGAAGTAACACTGGTGACAGAGCATGAGCTTCTTTCTTCCCATGCAGTATCAATGAAGTGCTCCGTTGTGTTATCAAAGAGTACTTTTTGGGCTGAGGTGCCATCTTTCAGGTGGGATTTCACACTGACTTTGATAGTTTCATGCATCCTTGAAGTGTCTCGTTCTCTGCAGGCTCCGCTAAGTTTTGTTCAGCTCTCCTGGAACTTAACTGAAACGGGGCCAGAAGGGTACCCTGTCATCTTCCCATTGTGACGGAGTGCTGTGCTAGTCGCTGACAGTTGCTGTATTTCCGGTGGCGGTTGTTGGAGGAGGGGTAATGTAAACCCAGCATCCTGTGCAGATTGCCATGTGGATAATTACGTTCTGCCTTCCTAAATTTCTTTCGGATTTGCAACTGGATCCTGTGCTAAACTGTGGTGTAGTGTTGCTATGTGCTGTTAAACAGTTCACTCCTTAAGCTGTTCCATTTCAGTCATGGGCAAAGTGATTCATGTGTGTGTATAATCCATTAGTAACAATTGTAAAGCACTCTGGGTTCTATCTGGATGAAAAGTGCTTTGTGAATATAAAGTCATTATCCTTACTTGACAGTTCTGTTTGCCAACACTTGTCAGAATTACCACAGATTTTTTCATCTTCTGGCTCTGATGGTTTCAGTATGTTCCAGATAAACATATCCAATCATCTCAAGTGAAATCTGGGAGATTGAAATTTCTCTTCTGTAAAAAGAATATACTGGGTTTTTTAATGTGGTTTGGGAGCTACAAGGTCTGTCTGTCTCCTGCTTTCTTAAATTGTAGTGGCAGTCTTAACTTTTGATGCATCAAAGTGCTCACTTCCCCCCCCCCCCCGCCTTTTACAGCCTTGTTGCAGTGACTTTTTTTAAACAATATATCTATTTCAGAATAGTTTTGCTTTTCTGTGTCTGCTTTGGGTTCATCTGCAGCCAATTGGCAAGCAACTGCTCCGAAGTGCAGCACATGGATTTCTGAAGGAGTTGCTGAGCAGTACATGGTTTCTTTATTTTCATCAGCACAGTTACTTGCAGCATAGCCTTCCGGGCCCTGTGGTAGCCATTACTGAAGTCAGCAGTGTGTAAGCCTGCATTTGCTGGTACTGAGACCCTTCCACTGATACTGAAAGCCAGCAACTCTCTGGTGTAAAAAAAACAGAAGCAAATCTGTCTAATGGTCGTATATCCATGGCAGTTGGTTGTCCCTTAAACTTTGGATGGAAGCCTATCAGGAGGTTGCATTAAATGCCTTGTGGAGAAGTGACCCAGATAAAACCAAAATTCATGCATGTTAATGTAAGTACAGTTTGCCTCCGCACTGCCAAACACATTGTGCGTCACCCCATAAAGTACTACTTCTTCCTCCCAAAAACAATACTGCATTTTAATGTTACTGGCAAAATTGCTTCTAGATGTTAAGCTAAATTTTCATTCATCTTGAAAGTACAGTTGGCTAAAATGTTCACCTTCAGTGAAATCATATTTTAAATATGTTTGTTTTCCCTCTACAGTGTTTATGTATGTGATAACAGGAAATAAAATTCCTTAGGTCTTTACTTGCTCTGTAGCGTGAATCATGTGGGGACAGAGATGAACAAGGCTGACTAATTCTTCCTTTGATACCTTCCTCCTCTCCCCTATCCCATTAAAAAAAAAAAAGAAAAAAAAAGGGAGAGAGAAAGAAAATAAGAGGCAGTGAAGCAAGTGACCAATAATTCAGTGCTTTTAAGCACAGCAATTTATGAACAACTCGCTGGAAATGTTCAGTTTGATTTTTATTTCAGAAATCCTAAATGAGAGTATTGTCGCACTAACTGCAGAAGCCACTGTAAGCAACTCCAGTAATGATGTAATCATGATGCAATGGTTACTTAAAGCAGGATCCTTGTGGTCCAACCCCTGTGGATGAAATGGAGCCCAGGTGTATCAGTGTGATGCTGTAGGGAGGGACACCCAACTACCCTCCAAGGAGAAAGTTGTGTTGGTCCTACCCACTGGATGACAGCCATGGAGGGAGTAGATGACACACGGAGTAGGAAGCAAGGACAGTTGAGGGACCAGATTTTCTCCAGTAAGTCCAGACTGCAAATAGAAGGTGGAATGGAAATAAAGGAAAGCTGTGTTTCTTGGACTGCTTGGGAAAATTTGGGAAGCTATTGGAGGGTTTCTTACAGATGGTAATTAGCCTAAAAATCAAAAATAACCATTTCTGTATTAGCTGTGTGCTTATGGGTTAGAAGTGGGGGAGGAGAATATTCTCCATGTGTTTGTCAACCACAGGACAATAGCCTTTAGTTAACAAGGCTGCAGAAAGGGCAGATTTGGTCCTGGAAGGTATGAGATGAAGTACTTGCACCAGAAAGAGGGGCATAAATGCTGTTGTACAAGTTGCTGGTTAGGTGATCAGGCTTATCTCTCGGGGTGGGGTGGGGGCAGGACACTGGGATATTGTGGTGTGTCTACTTTAGACAAATAAAGGGTAAGAGCAAGCCTGTTAGCTGTCTATGAGTATATCAAGAAGAGAAACAGCAGGGAGGGATAAGAGCTAAGACAAGATCAGCAGAAGAATGAGTGGATGTAAACCGTTCATGAGCAAACGTTGTCTGGAAGTTGGAAGAGGGTTCCTGAGGACCAGAGGGACAACTGTCTGGAATAGCTCCAAATGTACGGGCTGGGAGAGGGAAAAGCCCTAAGTAGTTTAAAGAGGGAGCTTTCCACATGAATGAAGAAATTGTATAATGTGCTAATCTGAACTAGCCAGGGACCGGAGTGGCTGAAAGTCCCTTCCAGTCTTACGTGTCATCTCTTCAGTGGGGCCTCACAGGCCCGTGTTGCTCTAATTTCCCACCACTGTCTGAGACACACGATACAGCTTTCTCACCAAGTCACTAACTGCTGTACAGCAGCCACAGAAATGTCATTGCCTCTTGCTACCACTGGATTTTGTTTTCTGAGGGGATTCCACTGGCAGCTGTGACACTTGCAAGCTGAGACCCTTTAAAGTCCAGCCTGAGCTGCACAGTGTTGCAGTGGGTGTAGCTAACCAGGGCAGCCCCCAAGAGAGTTGGCAGCAACAAGATCAGATCAGGCTGAAAATACCAGCAGAGCAGAAAAAGCTGAAGTGGGATGCGAAACCAGCATGTCTCCTGCTTCTTTTTTAAGAAGATTCTGTTGCTATGGCAATCCTCTCTTCCTCAAGCTCATTTTATTAAAGCAAGTCCTAGAATGGAGGACTGAATTCAGCAGTTACACAAAGTAGCAATTATTCTCAACAATTGGGGAACTTATGGCCTGGATCTGAGCCACGGTGCCTTTCTCATGAAGCTAGCAGGTCAATTTTTCCAAGACCCTTGACATTCTGTGTTGTGAGGCACAGAAGGATGTATTCTTTAAATAGTTTTTTTTGCATGCTGTGGTATTTGGAAATATGTAAACATTCACATTCCTTATTTATTCATCATGACGCTGAGAAACTAGTGTCTAGTTCCCAGGCTCCAAGCCAGAGGAGGCTTGTGTTCTTCACAAAGGTGGTGATATTGTACCAACTTGCTGGTGCAAGGATAAAGACTGTTCCTGACCCACTATCTCCCATGCTTTCTGATCAATGGTATGCTATTGATTCCATTATTACTTGCTTGTCACCACAGCAGAGACTACTGTTGTAAAGCATCAATTCATTAAGCAAAGATAAAAACTTAATAGCTATATTGGACCAGACTGAGTCTCTGTCTAGCTCAGTATCCCATCTCCAACTGTGGCTGTGAGTGAACACTAAGGTAGCACAAGTGTATACTTCCCTGTCCCCGTGCTGTTTCTGAATCTCTTTTCAGCTGGGGGACTTCTTGAGCCGAGTACATTTTCTGTGTGTTTAATAACTCTCAGTGGATTCCTTTTCCCTGAACTTTCCCAGTCTCCCTTAAGCTCATGCAAACTTTTAGCAGCTAAAGCATCCTTTGTCCAGCAGTTCACAGCTTACAGACTTACAGTGAGAAGAAAATTCAAATTTGGCTCCTACTACTTTGTATGGTCCTCCCCCTGCCCAGTCTTTGTTCTGGAAGAAACACTGAGCCATCTAACCCTACCTACCCTCTCTGCATTTCTCATGATTTTGTAGCCCTCTTACCACATCCTCCTTCAGTCATCTCTTTTCCAGACAGAAGAGCCCGGTGTACTCTGTTGTTCCCCAGAGAGGAGACATTCCATACCTTTTGGATCATTCCTGCTGCCCTTCAAGTCCACTAAAGCTTTTGTGCATGGGAAAAGAGAATGCATTCTGTAGAAAGCCACATTTAAATAACTTGTTTCTAAATGATAGCAGGTTCTTAACTGACCACGGTTTACCATCTTAGCCTTCGCAACTATCTTTTCTTTGAAAGGGATTGGGCTGTTGCACATACCCTGCAACTGGAAAATTAATGGGATATCTAAGCTTTGTAGTCCAAAATCCAAAATGATTTGCAAATATTGGTAATAGCTTGAGTGTGTTAGATGCTCTTTGGTGGGTAAGGCTGAGAAATCATTTGAGCTCATTTCTGTGCAACTCGGTTTCACGGAAACAGACATTTGCTTAAGTGTTAGGCATGTATTTTGTTAGTGAGAACATGTAGATTTCTGTGTGGCTGGATGGGATCAGGGTATGGCGTCTGTATGGGGAACCTGGGAACTGTGAGGAAAGTGTGTGGAGCCCCACACACTGAACAAAAAACCCTCCAAACTTTTTTTTTGTTCCTTAGAATTGTGTTTTTTGCCAAAGGTAGAGATCACTTGGTTAAGTCTTCAGCTTGTACTAGTAGTATTCTTGCTTCACCTCTGTCAATGACTAGTTTTGTAGCCTTCAGCAGTTCATTCATTTCTGTGTCTTTTATTCCTTCTATAATGTTGGATTATTACCTGGCTGCCTTTCTTGCTTGGATGTTGTGACTAGTCGATACTTACATGATTTGTTGAGGTTGTAATTGTTATAAATGCCATTTTTTATCAACTGGTTTGTAAGATGACAAATCCCTGTGCAGGTAGTCTTCAGTCTCCAGCATTAGTTTCAGACTTTCCAAGATAACTGTTCTAGTTAATAAATATCAGAAATTCTTTTCGTTGCACATTCCTCAGATACCAAAGTGGCTAATTCAAGAGTGCAAACAAATGGTTATTTATTTTAAGTTTGGAAACAATGTTTGTACAAGTGCACGTGCATTTTCAACATTCTTTTTAATTTTTAAAACGGAACATTTTTTGCTATTTATAGTGAATACAGAATCTCTGTTTAATTTATTGGCAAAACTTATACTGACCTCACCAGATCAGGATCTGCTCTGTGAATTTAGTTCTTAAGGGACAGAAACAAACTTGGAAAACCCTTTTCCACTTTGTATCTCAATTTCCTGTCTGTTAATGGGAATGATGAAACAGACTTAACTCACAGCATGTTATAAGGATAGGTCTATCCATGTTTGAAACACGCAGCGACAGCTACAGACAGAAGACGGAGAGGGAGCTTGACTTGAGGCCATCTACGCTACGCCCATGTGCTGGGGAGATGGTAGCCCAGCAAGGCTGGCGCTGGCCTTACCGAGCTGCCAGCTCTCCAGCTGCCATGTCCTGGGCCGATGGTACTGCGGGCGAGCTTGCGGGCCGTCGGGTTTCCTCACATGGGATGGCAGCAGGCTGCTTACAAACCGGTCGGGTTGAGGCAGGCAGGTGGGACAAGGATGCTTCTCTTTCAGAGGTGTAGGCTACTGAGAAGGCGAAGGTACTGTAGTCAATGCCTGACGGAGCCAAAGGGTACACCTCGCTGCCGTCCTGTTACGGCACTCCCTGGGGAAAGGATCAGTGTCGGTATAAATGAAAGCTAGCACAGAAAGTGTTTTTTCCTATTTAGGAATGAAGCAAACTTGCTTGTTTAAACAGATTTTTATGCAGACGCTCTACGTGTTTCTGTGGAGTTCCGTGGAGTCTTTGATTTTTCTTAGAGTAGGCAATAAATCCATGGTCTGTCTTTATACTTTTTCCATCTATGGATGTATTTGCTACTATGTAAGTACAATATTTACAGGATGTCACTGTTTACTTCTACTCTTTTTTTGCTTACTATCAGAGAAAAAAAATTCCTTTGTCATATACAAAATAAATAATATCCACAATTAAGAGACAAAGGATCTTTGACTGCATTTATTTTCTTTCTTTCTCTGTAATATTTTAAGATAATGTCAATACAGCTTTGCTACACTATGTTACAGAAATTGCTGTGGGGTAGAACTGGACTCTGCAGAAATAAATTTTCTCTGCCTTCAGCTATCTGAAATTTTTGAAAAGGAAGTGTTTTGCAGTAAGCCAGTATAATTCACTTTCAGCAAACCAGGTTTGGTTTTTTTCACTTCCAGGTGAAGCAGAAAGTATCTGAACACCGAATACATGTTGTGGTGTATAAATTCCTTCAGAATAGTAATCTCTTGCACACTGTGTTCTTACTGACCACACCAGATGTAACTAATGTTTTGTGGCATAATCCACCTTCTAATATTTTGAGTAAAGGGAAACTACTCATAAGACTTGCTGGTAAAGTTCAGCATACATTTCAGGTATCCTGAGTGCTGTTTTTCTTAGCTGGTATTTTCAGGACAGTTTCAAAACCTTGTTGAGGAGTTCCATAAATGAGACATATATGTCAAGTTATGCACAGCAAGTGGTAAAATAATCCAATCCATAGAGGTAGATATTCTGTCCTCCCCACCTGTCTTGGCAAGTTTCCACAGAGAGAAATCTTCTAAAATTCTCAATAAATCAAAAATCTGTGACTGCCACCCCTACTGTCTCTTGAAATGCTGGTCTAGTCCAGGATCCTTTAGCTGTTCTTTCCCAGTCGTTTTCACAATTGATCCCATCTTTCATGAAGAGGTTTATTTTATGGCTATAGCCATAAGCTTGAATGGTAGTTGCATATGAATAGTTTGAAAGGGCCATGTATAAAAGCTTTTTTAATCATCAACTTTTAAATGGCTTGATAACTACATAGCTTGATTTTTCCACTTGCATAGTTTGCCAGTAGTCTTGGAGATAGATTTGTAGAAAATAAGCAAGTAAGTTTGGATAGCGTGACTCCAGCTAAGTAAGTGTTTTGTGGTAATTGTGCCGTATTCATTAACAAGAATTAGGGTAGAGAACTTTGGTATTTTAAAATAAATTGGATAAAGGTGGGTTCAGAAATTTATTTAGTCCTTATTCTAGCATTTACTAATGGTGGAAATCATGTAGAAAAGCTGTTTAACTTTAGAAACATAGTTATTACAGTCCCTTAAAATAAAATTGCCATATTATGCAAAATAACTCTTTATAGTCATAAAGTTTGTATTTCCAAACAGAGTTTAAGGCTTTGCATCTCGCTGAAGTAAAATCTAGATATGAGTCTTGCTCTCTCACTGCATTATTATCTTCTGTAATTTCAGCATGCATACACAACTACAGCTGTAAATGGGACAAATTTTTGTACGTCAGCAAAGGATGCTGTCTTTATTTTGGCAAAGAATTCTGCTAAACTTGCATCCATTAGCTGTTTTGGAGATTTTATCCTATTTCTAGGAAAGGTAAGAGTAAGAAATGTTCTGTAAGAATGAAGTGAAAAATCAGGTTTGATTCTCTTTTCTTACACCTAAAGTAAATAAGGTTAATCTTTGTTAAACTCAGTGTTGTTAATGCTGTAAAATGAGTTTGGGAGTGAAGATAATGTTTGAGGAATTTAATCCTTTTCATAGTCTTTACAGAGTTATTTAGTTGTATTACAGTAGTGTCCTTGGCACCACTCTCACAGCTCCCATTGCAATAAGTCTTTGGTAAATACATAGTAAAAGGTTGCCTCTGCCCTACAGAATTTACATGTTGAATTGAACACAAAGTGTGACAACTACATGATGCCAGAAACTGCATAGCTACCTCCCAGATGAGAAGTGCTGTTAAAATATGGGCTGTAATGTTTTTGCCTTAGGGTTTTGGGGGTTTTGTTTTTTTTAAGAAACATTTCTACATGATTAATGAGGCTGAATTTCTCTCTCACTGCCTTTTACAGGTGTTTGTTGTATGTTTTACTGTTTTTGGAGGATTGATGGCATTTAACTACCATCGGGAGTTGCAAGCTTGGGTAGTTCCTCTGTTGCTGGTTGGATTTTTTGCCTATGTGATGTCCCACAGCTTTCTGTCTGTGTTTGAAGTGACAGCGGATGCCGTGTTCCTTTGCTTTGCTATTGATATGGAGACAAATGATGGATCTGCAGAGAAGCCATACTTCGTGGATCAGGAACTGCTGGTAAACCCCAGTGCTAACAGCAAAGATACTTGAGGCATTCTAAGCTTTTGGGGACTTTTTCTTTCCCCAAGACATAGTAATTCAAACCCACAACCCATGCTATTTCCTTCCCAACACCTTAGAACAGGATGGACTCAGGGATACAAATCATGTGTGAATTTATAAACTGAAGTAAATGGCTCCCTCTGACCCTGTGTGCTAGCTATGATCTGCTGCCTCCTTTTAGATCGTACCATGTAAGTCATGGCTGACATTTTAGGCCTTGTTAGACACATGTTCAATATATTGTCAGTAATTAAAAAATAGAAATAAATAGATGAGCTAGCTGCAGAGACCAATCCATGGGGTGCCCTAAGATTAGACGTTGTGTTGTGCCTTACTGTACAGTGAAGAGCAAAAGTAAACAAGGAGCTTCTTGTTGCCAGCAAGCAGGTCAGGTATCCGTCTACATCCTATGGATGCTGTAGTTCTGAACAAACTTCATGCAAACTCGTGACATTCTGCTTCATACCTATACAGATTCTTTTGCCAAAATACTGTCTTCTGTCACTTGATTGAATTCTTCTGCCTCTGGACTGATTGTTCTGTGTCTTTACCCTCATAATTACTGTATTGTATTACAAGCATTTCCATGGAGAATCATTACATAGCTAATAGTGATGGAGAGCTTTAGTTAATAGCTGTATCTGAAGCATTTGAATGTATATATGCCATCCCTTTCATATTAAGAGAATATCTGAAGATGCAGATGTTTTTTCCTTTCATGCTACTTTTGCCAGTTCTGTCTTTTCCTTCATAAACCATGCAACAAAGAAAATCTTAGTGATTCATGAAAAACAAACTCAGCAGCCAGAATAGCTCATATGATACGAATGTTCTGGATGGATTTCTTCAGGACAGTGTCAGAAGAACTGGTGGGGTTTTTTTGTTTTGTTTTGGTTTTTTTAATGCTGCTGTTAGGTTCCCTGCAAAGTTCATAGAGTTTTGTTGAAAACAAAAAACAGCACAAAGGCAGCCTAAAGATAGGCTTAACCCTTTGTACAGAAGAAAGCAGATAGATATTCTTTGGCTTTGACTCAGAACAGTACTTAAGCATATGTTCCAAATAGGTTACTGAATGGAAAACTCTGAAGCCTTGACCTCTGTTCTTCTCCCTCTGTTTTGCCAAATGTTAAAATACTTAAGCCAATTCTCTCTCATGAAACAAAGAGAGGCTTTCCTTTCTCCACTTCCAAACTTTGTGGTAGTTTCTCTTTAACTCTGGTTTTAATCCTTGTAATTAGCCATGCCCTAGGGCCTTGGGTGAAGAGGGGATTTCCCACAGGGGTGAGGAGCCTTCCAAGCAGGGCAGGCTCTGTAACCTTGTTTGGAAAAACTGGGGGCAGCGCATCCAAACTCCTCCTCATTGCATGATCAAGAGTAAGTTTACTCACATAGCCAAGAACTTGGAGTTTCCCAATACATGAAGGCATTTGACTTGGGACATCTGTGTTATAGTCAGGTTACAAACATCTGGGGGTGGAAGGCAGGCTCTGTGGCCCTCAGGATAATATGCAGCAGTGGGCAGAGAGCTGGGTGAGGGATTTCAGACAGCCAGAGTCCTCATTCCTGTAGTTGGAGATGTAACAGAGATTCTTGATTCATCCTTCTCTGTTGCATTCATCACCTTTGCTGCCTCTGCAGAGTCCCTCCCAGTATCACTCAGTGTCATCCGGCTAGGAACCAGCTACAGTTTCTTAGCCTTGACCTAATTATCTTCCTTTACCAGGTGTTTTTATTTACATAATGGTTTGCATTCCCAAATAATCTCACTGTGGTTTTTGCTTGTAGACATTGGTGAGTCAGAGTAACAAGTTAACAGAAGGGCAAAAATACAGAAGTGTGAGACCTTTCCAGGACAATGAAGATGGGACAGAGCTCCAACCTATGGTGAGACAGGAGTGTGGGATATGCATTTATCTACTAGCTAATGTGTTTGCCTTTATGTCCCAGGAAGAATGGATGGTAGGCTGTCACATATCTCCTGATGTCTCATAGCAACCAACATGCTGTACCCAGTATTCTGTTTTTCCTTCTATTGCTTTCCCTCCTCAGGAAACCCTCTGCTGGTGCAAAATATGGGTGGATCAAATATTTGTTCTCATCCTTCATCCCATTTCCCAGTGTGCCCAGCAGAGGAAGAGAAAGATCGGACTATGGCAAGGGGGTGGGAGATAAATCCCATTCAGAGAGTCCTTCACGTGTCTGCTGTAGGAAAGTCAGAAGAGCGGTAGGCTGCTTGATTTCATGCCGGAACTGCTTTAGTTCCAGAGCTGTAAGATCAGAGCTTAGAAGCCTTCCCTCTCTGCCCTCACCCTTTTTCTTTCTTTCTTTCCTATCAGTGTATATATTTATTTACTCTGTTTTATGCTAGGGTAAAAAAGCTGAGATGCCAGAAGGGAGTGTTCCCCGACACCCAGGCTTGGGAAAGTCCTGAAAGTAAATGCTCACTAACTGATATCTGAAAAAATATTGCAAATTGCCCAGCCTGAGAAGCTGCCCCAGCAAGTTCAGAATCTGGGCTGATTTTCCCCCAGCATCGGGGCGGGGGCCAAGCTAGAGAAAGATTCTGCAGCAACAGTTACTCTGGCACCTACGGTTGCTGGATACAACTACCAGTGTCTTGTGCCCTCCTTGCTACTTCTTACACAAGTGTAACAGATGTTGGTGATTTTTCTTGATGTGCTTTCAAGAGGTACTAGTCTCTAGCAAACTCTCATGCAATCTTGAGGGCATTCTGCTATAGGCAGAGCACTGCTTCAGCTTATTGCAACAGTGAGGGATAGTTGTACTTGATTTTTTCATTGTTTGGGTCTGTTACTGCATTCTTCAGTAATTTTTTTTGCCAAGCACACAAACCAGGGTGTGTGTGTGTTATTCCCTGCGAGAGGATTGTGGATTTGAGACACAAAAGAACCTTAATTATTTTCCCAGTTTACTCTTACAACATTTAAATGCAGTAACAGGACTAGTGCTACACATTATTTGACTCCTTTTTTCTTTCTTTGTAGACTTGAATGTGAAGTGTACCAGGAAGTATGAAGGAAGACCAGCAATAGCAAAAACAGTCATAGAAAAAAAGTAAAGGTTACCAATACCCCAGGAAGTATTAGTTCTATAAATCTTTGTTGTACTTTCTGCACTGGTAAAATGACACAATCTGTTTGTATGAATAATGTATTTTGTGTGTCAGCACATCTGATTTTAATATACTAGTTATGATGGTCTGAAAGTTGTTAATAAACAAACTCCTTGTAAATTACTATGTTGTCAGACTAAAAATACTAAGCCTACAAGGTCATTGGGCTGTCCTTTTTAGCTTTTTGGTGTGTCAGCTAACATGGGGTTTTTTTCATGCCTCTCTGGGAACAGTGGGCCAGTCATCCCTGGATCAGTGAACATCGAAACATTTGTAGAGGAGGCACTCCAAGATGACTGTTTCTTGGATTTGTTCTGTGTATCTGAACAGCCAGTGCAACTGATTAAGGAACAGTACTAAGCTCATTGATGTAAATTACCATTGATAGAAGTTCTCTGTAGCCGAGATAATTAATGGTTATGAGTTAGGTGTCTTTTAATTATACTCTTTTGGGAATGGTTTTTACAAGTTAGTATCATAAACTATCCACTGGCTCCTCTCTAAAGGGCAGACGAGGAATAGTCCTTTTTTTGTAAATAAAAATAAACAACTACCTTCCTTTTGCAATTGAAAAGACAAAAGAAGCAGAAAAATTTGTATCTGGATTTCAAGCTTGACAAAGAAGTAGCAGATGAGCAGTGGCTGGACAGAAATGAGATAAAAGGGTGTTATAAATAATACTTTATCGAAATGTTAGCTGTAGCATGGATGTGAAATATAAAATATCATGGAGGAATGTAGCGAAGAGACTGTCAGGGCTCTAGTTGGAAGACGGACATAAATGTAGATGCTTTTAAAAAAAAAAAACTTGCTAACAGTCTGTCAGCATTTTCTTGTGAGCAATTTTGAGGTTTCTTTAAACTTTGTACCTGTACCCTGGTTATAATACACTTCTGTGGGCTCCACCTCATTCTGAGTGTGGGGTAATTTTAGATTTTACTCAGTGGCACATGATTTTATTCTTTTTGTTCAAAAGCTCCTTTAATACTTTGTTTGAGGAGAGGTTTGAGGTAGGAAGACGACTCCAACCAGGGATTTCAGTAAAGTACACATCAGTATACGAAGAAGTGAGACATTACTGCAGGTAAGTGACTCAAACCTGCCATAATGAATAGATTGATAAACCTTTGATCAGTCACAGCTTGGAAGTTACATACAGAAAAGCTCACTGATGGCCTTAATGACAAATCTGTTTCAGCTAAATATTGTATCTGCTCTCCTGCTGTTGAAAGGAGACTAGTTATATGCTAGGGAATGCTAAGAAATACTTGCTTTTTATTCTTCATTTAAATAACTTTTGTCTACTTTAGTATGAGCCACTTCAAGAAGTTGAGGAATATGGGATAAATGATGAAAAGGGGCAAGAAACAGATTAATTACTTTCTGCCTGGCAGGTGAAGCTGATCATCTACTGGCTGTGACTCACTACCTCTCATTATTTAAATGGTGGTCGGCTTGTGGATGCTGTGGGAACTGGAAATCATGCTGAATAAGCAATAGCTCTCTAACCTTGAGAAAGTGTGCAGATATGGTACTTACAGAGGGGCAAAACTTTTCCCCTGCCATAGTTCCCAGTAAGATTGCTTCTGTATACCTTTTAATTAAATTTTGTACATAAAGCATAGCTTTATAGCTTTCAGGTGCAACACAGCACCTCCCAATCTTATATACATCCCACTAGCAATGGTGTCAACAACCTCCAACTGTAGCATTCCTGTGTGGCAGGAGTCCTCACCTGAATTAGAGGGATGAAGCACCCCTTACAGAAGCTGATGCTATTTAGTGCTTGTTTCTCATTGCCATCTTCCCTTGCAGGATATTGTAGTCAGGCAACTATAAAGCAGCCTGGAAGTAGGTGGTGGGGTTGGATGTAGGTACAGCTCATGTGAATACATACATAGTACTAGTTCAGGTACTGATGCTTGTCCAAGCCACTTCTGGTATTTCAACATCTGCCCTGTAAAGGAGCCCAGTACTGTATGGACTTTTCTTTCCTGCAGCTATGGAAGATTGAATTCAGAGGAATTAAAGGTACTTTTATAACTATATTCCTTAAAAATAGGAGATGGGGACTACTGGTGTCTGTACACTAGGAAATGGTTAAGTATTACAGCTTATTGTTTTGAGCAAGGCAGTTTGCATTTGGTCTTGCTTAGTGTCTACTTCAAACTCTTGCTTAATTCATTTATGATTCCACTGGATACCTCTGTGGCTGAAAGAGAACAGGCATACTGAGAACAGTTTGTGTGTTGTTTTGTTTCCTCTGCTCAAGTACATAGATAATAAATGTGTGCAAGCTGTGTAAAGCATAAGTTTTGGATTCAGAAAGAGCAGGAGGGCATGATTCAGGCTTTCAAAAAGAGACCATGCTTTCACCCAAACTATGAAAGCAACAAAGTTTTGTTGTTGATAATGGCACTGCTTTTCAGCATTCAGTACTACAGATCTAAATTGTTAAATACTATTATTTTGAAGGGGAGAAATAGTATAGTTCAGGAAGAGCAGGTCTTAACAGACATTTTCGTAATAATTCTCTTGCCTCAGATGCAGGGCTTGGACCAGTGACCTCCAGAGGTCCTTTAAAATTTAAATTCTGTGAAATAAACAAGCTTAAGACTTGTTCAACAAATAGGTCAGTCAAAAGTCAGGACACCACATCACACCCAAAGATAACAGAAACTAATGGAGCAAAGCACAAAAAATTTCTAATCTTAAGGGAAGAATCCTTTACAAGTCCAGAACTTGCAACTATAAAACATTTTATATGTTACTGTAAATAAGCATAATCTGCAGTAAATACTTGTAAAAACACTAAAGATATTTTTTAAAAGTTAGGATCAGTAACAATGGCCCCCATTGAGAGCATGCTCTTTTTTCTCCTGTTAAAAACAGTCCAGGTAAATTAGTACAGCCTGTCTCCACTCCATGGTGAGGAAGAAAGCATTTTCCATTTAGGAACAAAGCTCTGCTATCGGTAACTAAAGAACTTGGATTGCAGACCAGCAGGCACTGGGGTATCTCTTTACATACTTTAAAGCAAGGGTGTTTTAAGTTCTCAAAGTGATGGTATGAAGACTATAGGCTGAAGCAGAGGCAGTGTTAAATACGTGCAGTTCCTCATTTGCCTTGAGAAAAAGGGCAGGGATTTAGTGAACAGCTAAGGATCTCTGGTCATAACCTCACAGTCATGTAGAAGGGAAGCGAACTCTGGTATAAAGGAGCTACATTCCTTTCCTGTTAAGTCACTGTCACTCACTCCCAGGAGATTTTTACAAGGTTGTTAGCTTAAATCCCATAGAAAAGAAAGAACCTGAACTGCAACACATAGCAGTTCTACATTACCCTTAACACAGGCAAAGGTGATGCTGATTTGGGAATAACTTCTGTGGCATCTAATCTTTAAGAATAGTAGCATAACAAATGAGACAGGATCTTCTACATACCTTTAAGAAAAAAATATTTATTTATAAAAATACACTGGGATCAGTTTGAGAAGTGTGGCAATAAATACAGTTCAAGGAAGAAAAAGCATTTCTACATGGATATATTATGGCACAATAAAAGGTAAATGCACCATCAATCATGGGACTTCTGTTGGCTCAAGACTTTATACAAGCTCCCTTTTTAGTAAGACAACTATTTCGAAGTTTGGTCAGTGTTGATAATGGAATGAATACACAATCACAAACGCACACTTATGTCTAATGCAGGACTTACCATTAGCAAACAATACCTTAGAAACATAGTAATGATATTTAAATCACTAACATGATGTCTTAGATTTCGTTGGCAAAGACCACATTTAACTTTAAGTGTGAAATTCTTTCATCTGGAAAACAGAAAAGCTGTAAATATGTAAAATGAAGGCTTAAGGTGGTATGTAAATACCTACTTAGGTAGAAATTGTGAAAATGCATAGCTCCTTATTAGACGACCTGGCTGTACAAGAGCACTCCCCCTTTCACAGTATTCCTTTTACTTCATATGCAGTTATTGTTTATGCTGTAGACTACAACTGTTACAGCACTAAAGGCAACTAGACAGGGAAAGGGCAGAGAAAGGAGAAAGGAATGTATGTAAGGCAATATTTCTTCAGGTACATTAAGCATAGTGTGTAGGAAAGACAGGTAACAATTCCACAAGGCTAGTTTCGTTCTTACTGAATAAAATAATGGCCTAATACTGAACTTCTGATGCAAAGCTAATAATCAATGCCCTGGTCACTGTACTGACCATGGTAATCTCTTTGATAGTCATCTTGGTACTCTCCGTGATAGTCATCTGGATATTCTGCCTGATAATCGCTATCGCTGATTTCTGACCCATTAGTTCCTGTTCCTTGGCTGCCATTATGAATGACAGGTTCTGTTGGTGCAGCACAGTATTTGGGGTCATACACTTGTCGTCCAAGCCCATACACACTCATTCCCTTCTGTGAAGCTACTTTGTTGGTACCCATTTGTAATGAAATAGTTGAGTTATCCACAGGTTGTAATATGTGCTTCTGATCGTAGATGTCTCTCCTGGTACCTGGTGCCAGCATACCAGCCTAATAAAACAGGATTGTAGAGGTTCAGTAAGAAGGTCAAGAGCTGGAATTACTAGGTCTTTGATTACAACTAGTACACCTTACTGGAAGTGCTAGAAAGTAGGATTGAAGTGTAACAAAACATAGCACAGCAGTATGTGTTCACTAATAGGTAAGTCACAGAAGAAAGTCCTTACAGAAAGGTCCAGTTTATTTTCCTCTTTGGAAAGAATATACTAAGTGTTCAGACTGAGGTAGTGCCCAGGAAGCAATTTCTTTTTTGCCTCTGTCTAGTTAGTACTTGAAGTGAAGTTACTGTTTTCTTCTGGTATAACACAGCCAGCCGGAAATTCTAGAAGCACCTGGTCATTTCTATGCCTTAAGATATTCAGCACAGAACACACTGGTTAGTGTTAAGAAATTCAAGTTCTTCAATTACTGCGTAAAAGCACAGCTGAACTGTACCCTCTCACTGCTGCCAGTTAGACGCTGCTACTGCATGCAACTCACAGGTACTCCTATCCCACCAGACTCTCCCAGGTTGAGAGTTGTATCTGCTCTACAAATGTCATGCGCAGTCCTGCTTACCTGACTGGCTCCTTTGTTAGTGCCCATCTGTAGGCTAATTGTTGTCTGGTCAAATGGCTTATCAGTTTGCATTTTTGGATCATAGAGGTGTCTTCTAGTTCCATAAGCAGTCATGCCTGCCTGACTGGCACACTTGTTGGTGCCCATCTTTATTGGAGAAAGGAAGAGGTGGACAGAAAAAGTGGTTTTTATTTGTACAGCAAGCATAGTCTATGGAAACAAATATGGTTTGTAACTGTGATGGCTGACGGAAAAAGTAATTATAGTGCATGCTTTCTGCATGTAGCTTGACCACTACCTGTAATAAATTACCCTTTCTCCATACTGAGCTTCAAAATGAAAAATAAAGGCAACTGTCATCTTAAGGCATTTCACTGACTGGCATTTGCCCAACTGCATTGCAATTAGAATGGATGGAAGCATCAAAATGCAATAATTAAATTTTACCATGGCCAGTAATGATTCGATTACACTTCCACAACTTCTCTACCACAGGCATTTTAAGATTTTATGCCAGTTATTTTGGTTTTTATGACTATTAAGGAAAGCGGAGAGGAAAAAAAAAAGTTTCTACCATATAAGGAGCTTTAGCTGTCCAAAGACTCCTACTTTTAAAACTGCTTTAGAGGACACTCCTAATATTAGCAGTTTCTTTCCTCCTTATCACTCTTACTGCAGATCTAAAACAAACAGAAGAACCTTCTAGGCAGTCACTTGAGCTTATAAAGCCAATCAACTGCTGACAAGAATTAAAACCTCATACCTCTTTCCATGATAAGAATATATTGTAATTCTGCAGCTGTTTTTGCATAAACCATATATCAGTTAATCAAAACAAGAAAGTTATTTTCAAATATAACAGATTAGCTGCAAACTTGAATTTCTTTCTTACCTGCAGGCCAATTACACTTTGACCAGCTTTTAGTTTTCCTGCATCAAAACTTCGTGCTTGTTTCTCTGCATATTTGACACCAATATCAATTGTAGTATGAAAACCTTTAGTTTTTGCCTATTTAGGGAGAGGGAAAATAGAATATTCAGTGTTTAAAGTATATTTTCTGCTACTAGAACACTGGCTTTATGGCCCTGACCCTGAACTCTCAAGGGATGCCACAAGCAGGTTTATCTCTTATGAGACACAATCTGTGTTGGGGTGAGAGAAGGTAACAGTTCTGCATGCCATTTGAAGGCAGCACTCCAAAGCTACGCAAGTATCTTGTCAGAAGGATATTCTGCAGGGATTAGTGTTCTCCTGTGAGCCTCCCCAGTTCCGTGTATGCACACGCAGCACCAGAGCAAGGCTATCTGCAGTCAAGAATCCTAACTCTGAACGCTGGAGGCATGCGGTAGAACACAGCCCTCTGAAGTGCAATCTCTGCTGTATCTCCGACTCACAGCAGTATCTGTCTCCTCTCCTGACAGGCTGTATGCTTTTTTTCTGTATTTACATCAGTGGTAAGGGTTTGTCTGGACTGGCATGTGGATTTGTGCCAATTCCAGGGGTACAAATACTTACCAGACCTGCTAGCGCCACTAGAGTAGTCTGTACTTGAGTCATATTTCCATTTTCAAAAAGATCATTTGCTTCAAAAATATCATGTGGCTTCATGCCGTAGACTTGGATGGCTTTGATAAAATTCCCAATGTTCTCCAGCTAAACAGAAACAAAGAAGTGTTTTCTGCTCAGTGTTTCAATTCAGAAACTAAGTAATTTTAAAGCTTTCTGGTGTTGATGGGTTTGTTTTGCTTGTTTTGCACAAGTTCTGTGCTTTGTGCAAACTGGACAAAACAGTTGGCATGGTTAAGAGTGACTGGTGGGAAGTATGAGATTATTTTTCATTAGTTTTAATACTGACTTCAGAAATCAATCTAAGCGTTTATTTAGCCTGGCATCTCTCCATCAGTGAGTATCACATACTTTGTTAGAGGGGGCTTTGATGACAAAACTGTCTCAACTGTGTCCATTCCAAGAGAAATCCTAATCTAAAACCTGCTTCAAATTGGAAATTTGACATAGTGTCCGTGCTATCTGACTTCAGCAATTGATAATTTTGAGTAAAATAAAGTCATAACTATGTGGATAGTAAGAACATTTAACTTAGGTTGAAGGTATCATCTTGCTCACTTCCTGGAACAAATTCAACTAAGCTTTTCGGGGTTATTAGCACTTTCTTGCACTGTGCACTGTAGAAATTGGAAAGCAATATGGATTATAAGGAGTAAGGACTGAATCTCATCTTTCCTTCTGAAGTCTTAAGAGGTATTAAAACTTTTTAAAAACATAAAAATCCTCCACCATATTTAGAAGTGTTCAATGCCAATAAACCCAAGAGGCTGACATAGCAGTATTAAGGTAGACCCAGCAACAGTAAAGGCAGTCAACTCTGACCAGCAACCCTTCCACGGCTCGTTCTAAATGCATGTTGCCTTTGATAGTCCTTTGGGAGTGGTGGTGGTGGGGAGTGCTAGATAGAGCACTCATAAGAAATCAAATCTGGATATACTGAAATAAAATACATACTGTAGTTTGCACCATATTGTTTTCTGAGTTCTGTTACACAACCATTTCTTCTGAGACTCTTCGGGTCCTTTCCCTCCCCATCCTTTTCAGCTGCTTTCTCAGGAGGACACTTCATACAGTGATGTCCAGGTACATGCAAGCTGTTGACCTAATGCCTTTGCAGCACTGTCTGGATGGTAAACTCCAGTTGTGATTTAATAAAAAAAGTTAGCAGCTTTATTTTAACTTGGAAAAAAGGCCTTGCTATAGGGCTATATGTTGTTCTTCCATCTGAAATTTCACCTAACAGCTAACACACTACTATTAAATATGTATACTCAACTGCCATTTATGAGCCATCTCAGCTATAGTTGCTTTCTGTTAAATGCTGTTCATGTATGCAGTATCCTCAACTGTTGTGTATGTATCATATACAGAACTTGGTGTTACTAAGATTTAAGGTGTACTATATTCACAGCAAATTTGTTAATACAGAACAAAAGAACTGTTTGGGGGTTGGAGGGGTTAGAGGTGTAGTTTTGGGGGTTTTTTTGTTTTACCTGGTGCCAATTTAGTTTTGATTGATTAATTTTCTTCACTGATCCTGGCTGCAGCTTATTTATAAGCCTGGGAAGGTGAAAAAAAGGGAAATGCTTAAACAATAAATCTCATCCTTATACCATCTGTGCAGGCATCATATAATATTTTCACTCATGCTTTATTAGTTGCATTAGTTTCATCAAAATGGTTAATTTTTTTTGTTTATACAGAGTACCTAGCTCAGATCTCAGGTCTAACAAGTCTAACAGACCGTAAGAATTATTGTGTGCCATTTGATTATTACAGAAAAGAGCTTCACCATTAAATTTAGAAATACTTAGAAATCTTTTCTGAAAAATAAAGGAGATTTAAGTTTTCATTCTTTTCCATAGTTTCAAAGAAGCTCTCTCCCACCCTACTGTCAGCTATCATTGACAATTATCGTTGATGTGTTTGAAGGGGAGTCTTCAAAAAGTCCCTCCTTAGTTCCTCAGAAGTGGAAAACTGTTAAAAATAAGGTTACTTAATAAACGCTTACTCGCATAAGATTATGCCATCTTTTAATCCCAGTTGAAAGTTTGTTCCAATGCTCAGCCCTGTAACCTCTTCTATCCAGTTACGCAGATCTTCTTCTATCTGGGGGTCATATTTCAGGGCAATCTGTAACACAAGCAGTTATAAAGTTACTTTATGAGAGAAAACTGCAACTCTTCCCCCCCACCCCTCCAAACCATTTCAAAGAGTATGCTATAGCATTTATCCAGTAATTTTATTGCTGGATTTTAAACTGAATTTTAAATATCAGAGTACAGATGTAAGTCTCTTATCTCTTTTACTATAATGTTTATGGCTTTACTAAATGTTTATCTGCAAATAGTGCTTTGAAGCACTTAACAGTTCTTCCTACTGTAAGAATTGCTGGAGCTTGTGAATAGTCTTGCGACAGCTGCAGAGGAATGATGACCTTTTTGAAAAAATATTCTACCCAAGTTGTACTTCAGCAGGAAGTAAAAAAGTGAAATAGTGTGTTATAAACACAAGAAGTCTCAATTGCCATGCTATCAGTACTGCTGCTCAAATGTAGATTTTTACACAGGAACTTTATTATATAATAGATTTTAAGTTATTCAGCCAAAGAGTATGGTGGGTTTGCTTTTTTAGCTAGGTTATGATTAATGGAGATGACCTACTAAGTTTTCCTCTTGTTGCTACATTTAGTTATCTTGCTGGGGATTCTGAGGGTTGTGTGTGTGGCTTTTTTAAGTTTTAGTATGCCTGCTACTTCTCTTTTCTTTGGCCTTGCTGGAAGACTCTGATGGAAGAAACTGTGATCTCATGTCTTAATTGCAAAGAGAGAAAACCTGCAATGGTCTTTGAAGTTAAAGGCATCAGAGGCCCAGAGTTGTTAGCAAGGTGACTTAAAAACTCCTTTTCCAGATGTTCAGACTTCACTACTCAGTGCGTCAGTTTATACTTTAGTCACTGGAAATCAATCCATGTGAATGGAATGCTTAAAACTGGTAAACTTCAAAAATGCTAGCAGCTAACAGGGTCCTTGCTCCACTCTCTGTCCTTTGTTCCCTTCCCCTCCCCTGAAGACACTGAGAAGCAGCTCAAGCTTCCTTCAGCCTAAACCTGTTACTTTTGCAATACTTTTCAATATTGGCGAGTGAGAGAAAAGGGATTATATCATTGAAAGCATTGCTACTTTTTCTGCAAACAAAACAAGTTACCCGAGTACAAGATTTTTATGGCATAAATAACCTCTGCTAGTGCAGAGGTTGGCAACACTTTTCCACCTTCATTAGAAGTTGTCCCACATGGATCAGTGAGTGAGATGGGGAATGAGGGAGCTACCATGAGAAATCTGACAGGCAAGCACAGAATATACTTGCAGTGTTTCTAACTAATGGAAAATCAGCTCAGCTACCAACAGTTGCTTACAAATTCCTGACAAGAAACTCATGTAAAGCCATTTACATTCAGATGAAAATGTAAATTTCAGACTTTTTACATATAGTCTTTGACTTCAGCACAGAAAGGTCAGATATTAGTACTTATTTATACTGCAGGACATTATAATTCCAACCTATCCAAATTACTTGGATAGAGGCAATTGCTACATTTTAGCTAGCGTTAGTAATCCCCAACTCCAAACTGACCAAACTAAAAATTACACTATTCTGTTCTCTATTTTTCTTCTAAAGGGAATGGAAAATTCCTGTATCTCTGGCTTTACTTCAAAAACTTGTCTGAGTAATACTTATTTTCTTTAGACTATCTGTAACAGTGGTGCTGTGGTGCCTTGGTTACAGATCAGGATAACGGACTAAGCCATTCCCTTATTCAGATCTTGAGTAGTGTAAAATTCTGTGCAATATTCTGCACAAGATGACAAGTACCTCAGTGCTTAGACCAAAGCTGGTCTAAAATAATCAAGGTACCCCTTTTCTCATTGAAGGAAAAAGGAAGAAAGCTCAGGTAATACTGCCAGCGTGAGGAAAATCTCATGACTACTTTTTTTTGTTTGTTTTAATCACACCTTTTGGATATTAGATAGCTAAGATGAGCAGCAGACCAGAAAAGCTAGTTGAAGTTCACAGCTTCATAGAGGAAGCTGCTGCATTTTTGTCTCTTGGGTAACAGATAGTCCTCTTGTACCTTCCTTAAGTTTAGCACCAGAAGCGGTACAACTACATTCTTCATTTATAGTGATGGTAATAATAGTAAAGGGTGGGTAGCCCCTTTTCTGAGGGGCTACCAGAAAGGTTAATGTCTTGAAAATGGTGTATGAGGAAGTTGGTTGTCATCTTTCTCCTTCCTAACCTGGTGATTATCTTACAAACTACTTTTCATGGCTGTTTTTATTTCCTATGGAAACAAGCCTTATGTGATCACAGCCTTAATTTGTGTCCCCAGTAGCATTTGGCAGAACTCAACTAGCTTGTTCAAACTTACAGAGGAGCAGCAGTCTTGGACATAACTAAGTTGTTATTTTGTGTGAAAATAAGTATCTGTGCAATGGAGAAAGATCCCAAAACATCCCCAAAAGACTGAAACATAGCATCATACTCTTCTTGCACATTAGAGAATCTACAGAGATCTTACAAAAGTGATCTTGCCCACACAATCTTAAATTACATGTACAGACAAGACATACAGCAGATAATATGTTTCTGTACACCCGTTTAAAAGAAGAAACAGGATTTGTAGAAAGGCCAGAACTTGGTATGTTCTGATACTCCAGTTAGAAGACAGCAGACAATTTGGGCTGGTCATTTTTGTGTTGACAGTTCATACTACATTAAAATCACCATTCTAACGTGCATGTGGGTACAGAGAGGGGTTTAAGCTAATCTCTTCCACGAGTTTTTAGTTAGTTAGAAATGTAACGAACACTATGCTTTCTGAAAATTCAGGCTGTTTTGTTTTCAGTGTAGCTTAAAGACAATGCTAAGTCATATTTTAGCCATCCTGCAGTTGGTTTTGTGTGGAATACAACTGGAATTGTCTTTCTACAACTTAATTTATTTTTAAGTGCTGGTAATACCTTTTTTTTTTTAAAAAAAAAAGAGGAAATTAAGTCCATGATTATGCCACCAAGAGACAGATTTTAAAGATCACTCTATCTCCTCCCTCCCAATATTTTAAAATAAATAAATAAATAGGTAAGCCAGTAAGAGTGAGAACCCTAAAGTATTCTGTAAGCATGGCTATTTTAATCTTTCTTGGCAAGTATATAAAGGAAAAAAATGGCAAAAAAATTCCTCATTTAATACTATGTGCATTCCATATGTGAGATTACAACTGAGTTGAATATTAAATTGCTGCCCCCGTTGCTTGGGGAACTTAGAGGTAATCAGATGGAATTTTATGACTTCTGAAAAATATTTACTTTGTGTTGAAGTACTTTACCATGTGTTCAAATCTCAAGTTTTTCAAGGGGTTTTAAATTGTCTTGGGGTATCACTACACTGCTTATCTAGAGATACGATATAAAAAAATGCTTATACATGTGAGGAAACTTGTCTTATTGCCACTAAAAACATTAGTATTAAATCTGCTAGGTTTTGGAATTGCCTTCACTACTGTACAGTTTGACTTAAATATGGTAAAGTTTTTGTTCTGATTTTTTTGAACTAGTGGCAAACTAGGTTACAAAAAGTGAAAAGTGGTGATAGTTTCTTTGAAAATTATACTCAATCTACCTGGAAAGCTAGAGACATGGAAACTTTAGAATCTGGTTTTAAACATGTGACAAGAAGGGGTTACACAAGGAGAGTGACAGGCACTACCAGAAGCGAGTCATTATGCTTACTCTGAATTCTTAGGTCTTTTACTCCTGATGGCACAACCAGAAGTTATGTAACACTAAGTTCGTGAAAAATTCATATTTTCCACACATCTATCAGAGTTGTTCCAGTTTTTCTTTGATTGCTATCTATGAGGGGAAGCTGGAAGCTTTGATATAAATGAAAACAATTTTATGGCTTTTTCCATTACTACTAATCAACATGCCAATATTTGATCCTTTTTAAGTACTGAACTTTCATGTTTAAATCTTACAAGTCTACAGCAAAAGAAAATACTGGCTACTGAAGATGAAAGGAGTAGCTAAGCAGCCTCATTCAAAGTATACATCATCAGTGCCATGGAAAAAAAGCTACAGTTTCAGAGCACTGTAGAAAAGATTCATTGTAGCAATGGATATAAAGATTTTATAATGGTTTAAAACCAGATAGCAGGAAGCCAACTGTTTCTTTCTTTACTTTGTTCTGACAAATCTTGAAAGATGTATAAAGTTGTAAATGCTACTATTTTTGTTGACGTACAAGAGGTACAGGTTTAATAGAAGTATCTTTGAAAGGAAACTAAAGTTTATACAAGTGGTCAAAATTATAGGTGATCTAAGGTTGTGGGAGGAAAAGAGGAGGTGTTACTTGCCTATTACAAGCTGATATACATACATGTATGCCAATGTATGCCTCAGGCTAGAATCCTTGGGTTAAACTTGATTCCTCTGGTAACTTCACACCCGATTCTTGCATCTTGTTCTGTTCAGGTAGGACTTTCCTGTTTGGGACCTCTTACAGTGTAAAAACCCTCCCTCCATCTGTAGTACAAGAACAGCAATCATCACTCTTTTTATCAAGTGTATGGATTCCTGGAAACAAATGAAGTTATGCTGGCCAACTTTAATGATCTGTCTGTGTCCCTTGAAGTTACTCAATGTGCCTGTAGCATGTTAAGCTTGAGTGATGAAGTTAACCAGTATTTCACACCATAAATGATATCATATGTCCTTTTATACTAATCTTTTCCAAATTACACAGTACACACTGTACACCAAGGGCTACATATATGCCAAATCTCTAGTTTAAGAGTTCAGCTGTCTATATTGCTGCTACTCTGGAAAAATACAGTAACAGTATCTCCAGAAGAGTTTAAGCACACTGCATGTCTTTTTACAAGTCACTGGGACTAACAAACAGAAAACTTAGTAAGTTAAAAAGCAGGTATAAAAGATAAAACTTTCAAAGTTACCCATCATGTCATAACAGCTCACACCTTAGTTCTGATGAAACTTTTGACTAAAGCATCAGGCTTTATGCCCCCACAGAAGGGGTCAAATGTTTAACATGCAGCCCACTAAATTTAAA